ATGAAAATAAACCTTGGGCCCCTGAGGGACATGTGATTGCTTGTTAGAGGATTAAGATACCGTATCTAAAGTGCCTGGCACAGACTTCCCTGGTGGCGCAGTGGTTAAGAATCCGCCTGCCAATGCAGGGGGCACAGGTTCGAGCCCTGGTCTGGGAAGATCCCACATGCCCTGCTCACCTCTACACCTATCCTAGCACAGTTACAAGGTCAAGAAATAAACTTCTTTGTCTTAATCTACTGAAATATGATTGAATTATTATTTATTATTAATTACAGCCTAGCTGAACCTGAACATTCATCCTGAGTGCCACTGTGATGTGTTTTCACTCAGTCCTTTCCCTACTTTGTGTTTACATAGATGAGTTCACATATGTGACTTTGTATTATATTTCTTACAAGTACGTTTCTACGTTATCATATATTCTTCATAATTTAATGGTTGCAGAGTATTCCATAAAGTAGCTGGTAAACCATAATTCACTTAACCATTCTACTGTTGATATTTAGTTTGCTTCTTGTTTTTTCTCTACTTTAAATAATGCTATAATAAACATTTTTGTGCAGAAGCCTGATTCTATATTTTGAATCATTTTTAAAAACGTCACCAGAACTGGTATTATTCAAAGGTTATGAACTGGTATTATTCAAAGGTTATGAAAAGGTTGAACTTCTTTTCACAAAGACTGAACTAGTTACACTACCATCACTAATGATGTGCTCATTCCATCAGACATTAAAAGCAAAGTAGTTTTACAAATACTTAAGAGCATAAACATATCAACTTGATTTTTTAAAATTTCCCCTTTTATTTTGCATTTCTTTGATCACTACTGAGATTGAACACTTCTTCATGTTTGTTAATTAGTGGTACCTCGTCTTTCGAGAATTTTGTTTATGTCCTGCCATCTACTGGAGTCTACATTTCCTGTAGATTTAAGTAATCTTAGCACTCATAAATCCTATCAAGAATGGATGATACTTCCCTGGTGGCGCAGTGGTTAAGAATCCACCTGCCAATGCAGAGGACACGGGTTCGAGCCCCGGTCCGGGAAGATCCCACATGCCGTGGAGCAACTAAGCCCGTACGCCACAACTACTGAGCCTGTGCTCTAGAGCCCGCGAGCCACAACTATTGAGCCCATGCGCTACAACTACTGAAGCCCGCGCACCTAGAGCCCATGCTCCGCAATGAGAGAAGCCGCCGCAATGAGAAGCCTGTGCATCGCAACAAAGAGTAGCCCCCGCTCGCCGCAACTAGAGAAAGCCTGTGCGCAGCAACGAAAACCCAACACTGCCAAAAATAAAAAAAAAAAGAATGATCATCCAAAATTTCAGAAAGCATTTTATTGTCAGAACAAATATTAAGGCACAAAAATACATCAGTTTTTTCAAACAAAAATCTTTGAAATAGTTTTGTCCTACATTCAGAGCAGCTTCTTCCAAATAATACAATAATTTAACCTTTTAAATAAAAATATATAACTTCTTAAGCCCCTTTCTTCCCAAATACATGTTTTCCTAGTTCTAAAGAAGTTTCTTATTGAGCTCCTGTGTTATAATGTACATTTCCTTAAATCTAGTTTTGTCACTTATATACATTCGCTATGTAATTTAGTACTTTAACCAACATGTTAAACTTCTTTCTTATAAGGCATGGTGTTTTGTATTGCTTATAACATGCTGTTGATCATACAAAGACACAAGTACCAAAACTAGGGACTTATAAATCTAGCATAATACGTCTCATAAACCAGTCCTGTACGGCCTAGTGCAATAGACTCAAATCCCTTTTGAAAAAAGGATATAAAAATCGTTTTATACTTTCATGTACATGTATATCTTTTATACTTTCAGTCTTCACATTACAGTAATGCAAATATAATATACTGCCGTAGAGGGGGAAAGTCAGTACTCTCTGCAGGATATGTGAGAGATTTTAAATATTATTTTCTTTACAGGAAAAGTAAAAAGTATGGGAGCATCATCTCTTGGGCTTAAAAAATTCACATATTCATCTATTTTTCCTTATTTTTTGAAATAAACTAACTTAAAGCTCCACTAAAGCAGATACTAATACTAATCTAACTCAAATCATGAAAATTCCCTTTTAAGCAGATTTCATACTTCACATAAACCTAACATGAACTGCATAATAAAAACACTTAAGCATTTTGCCTAGGAACACATAAAACTGGACTCTTATTCTCAGATCCCTGCATTAACAGGGAAACCCATCCTGATGGCATCCTAAGAATAAAATGATGTGACAGCCTCAAAGACCCTGATGCCCAGTTTCTGGAAACTCTGTGCAGAAGCGGGGATGACGAGCTGTACAGTGGCTCTGAGTGTGACTTCTCCCTGAGGTCCTTCATCAGAACTATGGCTACAGCCCCAGGGAGCCCCTCCTGTGCACACGAGAGGGCCGAGAAGGCCCTCTGTAGGAACACTCGCTTCAGCTCACGAGTCACCAACAAACACAACTGCCACTGAAGGTGCCAGACACAGTATACGCCCCTTGAAAAACATTTCTGATGAGGTTATCAGGAGAAAATACTGCTTTCTGTGATTTGGAGAAAAGTCTGCATTTCGCTGTGCACCTGAGCCATACCGGCAGCATCATTTTTCTTGCCAGCTGCAGACAGAAGTGTTTTTATAAACACTATCAAGGTTATGTGAGAAGCATTTTCCCTTATTACTACACAGTTACCATCAACTCTCCACTCGCACTCCACAACATCTGCAGCTGGAAAACCAGGATTCTACATTTCAAAATTCAACTACAGCCCTATGAGTTGGGGATCAACCTGCTTCAAAATCTGGGGACTGGTATTAGACACAAATGTTAGGAACAAGAAGGCACTGGTCAGCTCTGAAACAACTGGGCTGAGGGTAAAATACACCAAAACCAGAATGGACATAAATGCTGGGAAAGATGGCAGGTGGGAGCCCATTATTGTGGCAGAAACGGAAATAAGGAAGGGAACCCACACTGTTAGATGTTCTTTTCTTGGGAAGGATGTCCCAAACCTTTCTCAGTACAACACAGTCAATAGTTACTACTGCAAATAAATTTGAAAGTATCTTTCAAGAGGCATTACTACTAGAAAGTTTTTTTTTTTTTTTTTTTTAAAGAAGATGTTGTGGGTAGGAGTTTATTAATTTATTTATTTATTTTTGCTGTGTTGCGTCTTCGTTTCTGTGTGAGGGCTTTCTCTAGTTGTGTCAAGCGGGGGCCACTCTTCATCGCGGTGCGCAGGCCTCTCACTATCGCGGCCTCTCTTGTTGCGGAGCACAGGCTCCAGACGCGCAGGCTCAGTAGTTGTGGCTCACGGGCCTAGTTGCTCCGTGGCACATGCGATCCTCCTGGACCAGGGCTCGAACCCATGTCACCTGCATTAGCAGGCAGACTCTCAACCACTGCGTCACCAGGGAAGCCCTAGAAAGCTTTTTTACTAACTCCTATGAAATGAGAAAATGAGAAGCCAATTCATAACGCAGGCTTTTGAAAGAAATCATTTTGTTTTGTGGCTTCACAATGAAAAAAATCAATGAAAGGTTATGATTTAAGTGCTTGTACTGGTTAAGAATTTAAGGCTTAATCAAAAACTCTGGTGGCTTCCCTGGTGGCACAGTGGCTGGGAGTCCGCCTGCTGATGCAGGGGATGCGGGTTCGCGCCCCGGTCCGGGAGGATCCCACATGCCGCGGAGCGGCTGGGCCGTGAGCCATGGCCATTGGGCCTGCGCGTCCGGAGCCTGTGCTCCGCGGTGGGAGGGGCCGTGTACCGCAAAAAAAACCTCTGAAGTCATCCTCAACTCACAAGGTTAGAACTCCTTCAAAGAAAGACATACAGGATTCTAACTTTAATTCCTATTCTAAATGTTCACTAGGCTGTATCTTTGGTCAGGAGAGCAGCAAAACATTCACCATTTTCATCATACTATATTCAACTGCTTTTCAAGTTTAGAATGTTCTGCATTAAAAAAATTTTTTTTTTAATTTCAAATTACATATTACATATATAATGTAACAAAATAATGTATAAAACATGGTTTAAGGTTAAAAAATTAGTTACAAGATTAATAGTGATGTACTATGCAGTTAAATATATAGTTTTTTATGAAACCAAATATGCTAGGATTACATAGAAGGTTCTTGTTTCCTCAAGGTTCACTGGTATGAGCCTCCCAGCTCGCCAGGGAGGAAGTGCTCTGGTGGAGCCATGTGGCCAGGGGACCCCACCTGCCCCAGGCATTCAGCAGCAGCACACAGATATCTGGCCTGAGGGAGGGGACAGCGGCAGAGCAGATCTTTGGAAGTAACCTGTCTCCATGTACTGTGCTCCCCTGAGCTCAGATAGAAAAGACCAATGCTATGATTTGATGTGTGTGGTGATAATTACACACAAGGGCTTTGTGCAGATGTGCATACACACACACACACACAGAGCAAACCTAACCATATAAACATCCTTATGTTCCAACGTTAACCAAGTTCTACTTCTTATCAAATTGCTTCAGCATGAAAATCAAAGAGAATTATTATTGCATCTAGTAACTATAAACCCAAGAGGTGGAGACACCGCTTTACCTCAGAAGAATCACACTACCTGAATCAAACAAAGGTCAGTGGAAGAACAGTAGGAGTGTTGATGTAAAAAAGGTGTCTTAGGGCTTCCCTGGTGGCGCAGCGGTTGAGAGTCCGCTTGCCGATGCAGGGGACACGGGTTCGTGCCCCGGTCCGGGAAGATCCCACATGCCACGGAGCAGCTGGGCCCGTGAGCCATGGCCGCTGAGCCTGCGCATCCGGAGCCTGTGCTCCGCAACGGGAGAGGCCACAGCGGTGAGAGGCCCGCGTACCGCAAAAAAAAAAAAAAAAAAAAAAAAAGGTGCTTTAAATTGTCATATTTTCCAGAAAATAAAAAAGAGAACCCAAACCCACACGCCTGCCACCCATCAGCTAAGGGCATTTGGGCACCTATCTTTATTATAATACTTCTCTCAGGTCATTGCCAAGTCTAGGCAATTTAATGGACATTAAACTGGATTCAAGAGTCAGCTTAATAAGGGTTGCAGAACCCTCCCACCATCTGAATTCTTAGTTTTAGTACATAGATTTCCAAGATCATGCAATAAAAACTTATTGTACTGTATCAAAACAGAGTTCTCTTTTAGTCTTGAGGAAATCCTTCACCGTTATGTAAGCTTCATTTATGTGGGTTCCAATCACATTATTTTTTCTGAAGAGAACATTTTTTCTGCCATTTCAGATCTGGTCATAATTTCCTTAAAAAAAAAAGGGAAGTTATTCATCAAAATGTCGATGCTCCTTCCAGGTCCTAACAGAATTCTCTACAGTGTCTCTACGAAGTAGTCACGATTTTGTGGGGTACACGCCACGATACACACAGAAATATTGGATATGGAAAATGAAAACCATATAATCCAGACTGCCAGTAATGGAGTGTAATCAATTATCTGTTAAGCTCAGAAAACTGTAACATTTCTAATTCAGAATCACCAGTGTGAGGCAGGGACAGAGCTAAAATGGATTTCTTAGGCATAGAGCTCATCTAGGGATTTGCCTGACTCTACTACTTTAGGTATTTTTGAAATTACAAATCAATTATTTATCAAATGAGTACTACAAATGCCCTTTTAAAAGCAATTCCAGGGTATATCTTTCCATAGAGTTATAAATCCTGGAGTTCAATGGTTTTGTAGCAAGGTGCGTATACACGGCAGCCTCCTCAAAACTTCCCATCCCACTGCGGCCAAACCCCCGCGCTGATGCCAGTCTTCTCCCTGACCTTTCAATGAACAGAGCTGTAGCTTCTCTCATATTCTACAGCCACCACGTAAATTACTCCTTAGCTACCACTCACTTCCCGCTACTCTTCCTCTGGATAAACTGGTGGTCCCCACGTCCATCCTTTAATCCTTGCACTTCAGACGTCTTCCTGTCCTGGGCCACCCTGCAGTGTCCAGATGATCTATAACTAATTTTTTCCCCCAAAAAACCTTCCTAAATCCACATCATCTATTCACATTTCCTACCTAGTAAATGTAACTCAGTTAGAAACCTTATTTAATACCCCAGGAAAATATCTACAAACATAAGAGATTGATTTAGACAAACCGCCACCTTGAAGTCTTCTCAACTCTTACATCTTAAGATGTTAGAAAATCATAGACTCAAAACCTCATAGAAGGATTCTTCCCTCCTTTCACACCAATAAGTATTTATCTTGCTCCTGTTTTAAATGAGGATCCAGTTCCTTAAAACTTTACCCACAACTCAACGCAGTCTTTCAATCCGCTCAATTTGTAATCATTTTCAAAAGTAACTTTCAGAGCTTCTTTTGAAATACATTTCTACCTTGTGAAATAACAGCTCCAAGACATAAGCAAAAATATATTTTACCTCATCTGAATCCACTAATACTGGAAGAACTCTGAAATAAAAGAAAAAAAAAGTTGACAATGTTATTCAAAGGCAGTGTATCTACAAAGCTGAATATAGCATATCCTGTGATCCACCAAGTCTCACTACTGGAAGACAAGTCAACAGAAGTGAATACCTAGTGCTGCCAACAGACACGGAGAAGAATATTCATAGCAGTGTTGTTCTTAACAGGCCCCAAATAGGTAAACTGGAATACTATACAGCCCCCCAAAGAGGTATAAACTATTGAGGGATCAAATTTTAAAAACTGACACAAGTCATCTACAGTTACAGACATCAGCACAGCAGTAGCTTTGGGGTCATGATTTGGGAGGAAAACAAGAAGATGGTTTTTAGGGTATTAGTGATGTTCCAGTTTTTTTTTTTTTTTGCCGTATGCGGGCCTCTCACTGTCGTGGCCTCTCCCGTTGCGGAGCACAGGCTCCGGACGCGCAGGCTCAGCGGCCACGGCTCATGGACCCAGCCGCTCCGCGGCATGTGGGATCCTCCCAGACCGGGGCACGAACCCGTGTCCCCTGCATCGGCAGGCGGACTCTCAACCACTGCACCACCAGGGAAGCCCATGTTCCAGTTTTTGATCTGGGTATCTTGGTGCAGGTTACATGAGTATGCTTATATTAAAAATTTACTGAGCTATATACTTATTTAGAATTTGTGCACTTTCCAGAATGGGTGCTATACTTCAAAACTTTCAGTTAAAAAATTAGCTGATATATGAAAATAATTATAACTTCAAAATGGAAACAACAACAAAAATCAGCAATTCTAGAGGCTAGTATGTTGGAAGAACATCAAGGACTAAACCATGATGAATGAATAATTCCAAACACAGTGGGCATCCAATTATATCTTTGTTTTTTAAGCCCCTGGTTATTTTTTACTTTGAATAGTTGGACAAATACCTTGACTAGTGATGTGCTATCTAATTTGAAAACCCACATGTCATGTACTTTTGTGAGAACTTAAGAGGGATGAATAGGCTTGACTGTAGTCATCATTTCACTACGTACATATATATCAAATTATCATGTTGTACATCTTAAATAAACACAAATTTAATTAAAAGATATACCTATTTTTAAAAAGATGGATGAGTAAACATATTATGAAAGGTGGTATTTATGGTATCAAGTATTTGTTTAATCCTATGTCATTGTTACCATTGACTGGACATAAACCAGTGAAGGATACTGAAGAGAGAAAAAGTTATGCAACAGAACCTTTGCTCGGGAAAGATTATATGGATAAAAAGACAAATGTAGAGCTTCGATGTGCAATGGGGCACTGAGAGGGAGAGCCCAAAGGGTCTGCATGCCAAGGTCACAACATGAAAGTCACATCAACGCACAGTCCAGAGGATGCTACTAAGAGTGCAGCCCATGGTGGAGACAGAAGAAAGAGAAGTCGGGGCCTCACCAGATGTGAGGAAGGAGCCAACTTATATGGCTTGGAATAATATTAAGGGAAATCCAGACTGCTTTAGGGAAAGATGATCCAGAACCTTGGGAGCCCAGAAGACAGCCCACTGAGTGCTTAGCACCTCGTTTAGAGATAAACACTGCAATCTCCAAAATGGTTCCTTTTGTGAGGTAAATGACTATTTAAAACTTATTAAGATGGACTCAGCGCATTGAAGAGGAAGGAGAACTATGCTAAGCTGGTCTTTTTGGTTTATCAGAGACACAGAAAAGCCATAATGAATACCATACGAATATCACATAACACATTAGATCATATGGTTATTCATGATCTGTTTAAATTGTCCTATGACTTGCAAAAGTTTTGATCCACTTCTATTGACGTATAAAGAAGTGTTTACCTGTACATGAAGTCCGGTTTCTAAACTTGCCACGTAAATTGCACATGAATTTTGGGTAGCGTTGTGCTAAACTTCTTGTGTTTAAAGTTTTCAGAATGGACACACAGGTTCCTAAGAACCTAAAATGCTGGAAGCTATACTGGATTGTACAATTCTACTCATTTCACATAAATGGTTCATGAGAACATAAAAGAAGACATTTTGCTCTTTTATATTCCAGAGGAATTTTTGTAATCAGGCAGACATTCTACTTACAGAAAGAAATTGTAGAGACTAATGAGTCTCTAAGACATAAGGAGAACTGCCCAGGAGCCTTATTGCTTTCCACCAAGAAGTGGTGGCATAGTATGAGGTTACTCTACTTAGGTGATTTCCTTCTAAAGTACTCAGTAGTGAATTTCCAAATCTGGAAGATAACGGTTGCCACCTAATCTGAATCTCTCCACACACCCTTGCTCAAAATTCCATGAAGTCCCTAAGGATTGCAAACAAAACCACACACAACTCACAGTCTTCCGCATAACCAGAACACAGCAAACCTGAAATTATATGTAAACAGAGAAATAAATGCCAATACCAACAAAGTCCCTGCTGTCACTGCAAGCTCATGGGTACTGAGAGTGGGGAAAGAGAGGTTTGAGAGACTCTGTGAAAAGTAGAGGGGAAGGAGAATTTAGACAAAGTATAGACAAACCTCTTCAAGAAAAATCAACACTAAGTTCCAAAATACTGACTGAAGGCCAGTGACTTGGTAGTTCACAGTATCTGCTACAGGGAAGGGGCTTAAATTGAGTGGAACCAAAAGTAGCCGTCTTGAATAATCATGGTTTTCAGGGGAGAATCAGATACATGGAGGAGTGGTACCCTCAGAGCTATGGCAGCACCATGAGTAAAAAGAAGGAAGTAGAAGGGGAAGATTAAAGATCTTGTAGAAATAAAAGAAAAATAAGACACCACCAACCTCCCTCTCTCCATACCTCCATCCCATCAACATTTTCCATAAATAAAACTATAATTTATGCAACTGATGGAAGAAAGCACTCAGACTAGGAACTCTCACTACCAAATGCCTAGGAATAGGAAAAACAAACAAAACCAATTCCATATAATGGTGCAGGAAGAAAAAAAGAAGGAAAATGAAAATCGAAGTGTTTTACGGTAGAAGAAAGCTACAGCTATAACACAACACTCCAAATTAGATGAAATAAGTTAAAAAGAATATTTGGTGATATTAAAAAATACAATAAGAAATTTTAAAACCAAGAGCAAAAATGGATAAAAACAAAAGAGGAAGAAATTCAAAGAGTCCATTAAAATCTGGGAAAAAAAAAAGACAAAATCATCCCAGCAATGAAGAAAAAAATTACAAGGCACCCAAGGCAGAACAAATTTAAATAAAAATTTAATATGTGGCAAGAAAACTACTAAGAAAATGAAAATGATATAAAGAAAGAAGTAAAAAGGATTACAGAGAAACTAGTAAAAAAGAAAAGGAAGATAGCAGGTAAAGGTGGAAAGAAATCAGATGATTCCTCCCACAGAAACATTTATAAAACCGGGACAAAAATATTAAAAATAAGTAGTTAAAGGCACTGGAAAATGACCAAAGGGAGTGGGGATATGAATCCAAGTAGCTCAACAAATTCCAACAATACTCAAAAAGGAAACCACACCTAGGCACATCATACACACACTGTGGAAAGCCAAACGTAAAGAAAAAAATCTGAAAAGTGGCAAAAAAATGACACAGTACACACATGAGGACAATACAACTAAAAACTGACTTCTCTTCAAAACAATAGAAACCAGAAGATATTGGAGGGATGTGTTGGAAGAGCTCAAACAAAAGTCAATCAAGATTTTTATATCCAGCAAAACCATCCTTTGAACAGGAGGGCAAACAAATACACTTCACATAAATAAAATTGAAAGAATTAGTTTCTAGCAGACCCATACTGTAAGAAACACTAAAGAAAGACCTACAGGAGAAGGTGATAACTCAGATATACAGGAAGGAAAAAAAGAAATCATAAAGGCATGTGAAGGATATTTATACACCTATTTTCCTTTTATGACTATTAAAAGAAAAAAAGTATAATAGTGTACTATTAGTTTCATAACGTAAAGGCAGTTCTTACCTCATATGAATCTGATATGTGTGAATTTCAGTTACCACAGTTTAATTAAACAACACCAGTCCCTCAACAAGACAGTTCAAATTTCAGTTACTCAAAAGCACAATGAGATACCACTTCACAGCCACTAAGAGATCTAAAATCAAAAGGTGAACAATTACAAGTGCTGACAAGGATGTGGAGAAATCGGAAACCTCATACATTACTGATAGGATTATAAAATGGTTCGGCTCTGGGAAAACTGCTTGGCACTTCCTCAAGATGTTCAACATACAGTTACCGTACGATCTAGCAATTCCACTTCTAGGTATATACCCAAGAGAAAAGAAAAACCCAAGAGAAGGAGACAGTCCTGAAGGCAGCCAAAAACAAAACAGAACAAAACCCAGGTAACATATGAAGGAACAGAGAAGAAGTACAGCAGACTTCTTTCTAAAACTATGACAGCTGGAAAACATTCAAGTGACAATCTTTGAAGTGCTGAAAGAAAACCAGTCAACTAGGAATTCTATAACCCAAATTCTATTTGGCTTCCCAAACAGCCAAAACAAAGACTTTTTCAGACAAATAAAACCTGACAGACTTATTACCAACATACTTGCATGACCAGAAACATAAAAGAAATTCTTCAGGCAAATGTGACATCATACTAGACAGAAACTATCTAAAAAGGAAGTAGATGGGAGCAGAGAAAGGAACAAACAACATGTGAAAACATCGTATTTGGCTATCCTGTTGTCTACCGTGGAAACAGCTATCTGGAATTTGTGTGTCATAAAGGACACTGATAAAGAAGAACCTGAAGAGCTCCAAGTTCCCGGAGGGGCTTCCTCTGCACTCTAGTTTTCCTATGCTCATGTTTTTCCTCCAAAAGCTTCCCCACCGTACATGGTATCGTGGTTACGTGTGTTTAAAAAAAAAAGTTTGAATTCTTCCATATTATAAAGTTAAAACAAAATGATTCTGATCCTGATAAACTTATATAAGAAAATGTTGGAGTTGGTTATAGGGCAGGAGTATTAATAGAGTTGTTGTACAGTGAAAAAGGAAGGAGAAAGACAGACCAAGGCAGGGCTGTGTTTTCTCTGCATTTCGATATGAAGTTAATCAGTCATATACTAGTGATAGGGGCCTATAAAAACATACAGAGGTGAGAGTTTTGAAAAGCACATAACAAAGCATGAAAATTATCCCTTTATACTACAGCCTAAATTTTAGATTCAAACTTTAGCAGAGGATATTTACACATCTGTGAATGAAGAGGGAATGTTTTCCTCCACCCACTTCAAATCTTCATCCTGTAGAAATAAATATTTACATATTAGCTTTTGCTTAATAATGCCTGAAAGCAGAATTTTTAAATAGCATGTATATATAGTTTAAGCATTTAAATTCAAATGCATGACATTCTTTTAATTTCTACATAGTCTAAGAAGCTGACACTTATGCCACACGAAAATTATGCCAGTATTTTCTTAAACAGTCAAATGAACACTTGGATTTTGGATTTTTGTACTTCTCTGGTTTTGGTTAGATGCACAGGTGTAATTTTTTTGTCTTGAAAAACCACAGTAAAAATACAAAGAGTTGATTTATAAGACAGAAAACAGCACGAATATTGACTTGTATTAATTTCTTGCTTCCAGCATTCAGTATGCCTCCTAATCTGTTCACTTTATGAGTTTATAATTTTTCAGCAGAAAAAGGTGATGGTACAGATATTCTAGCCTTACAAAAGCCTATTTATTTCAGTCACTTGTGTTTAGTGCTCATGTTTCTGTAGGAGAAAAGAAAAGCAGGTCAATTGGGGTATCTAAATTTTTTTTCAACAGAAACTTGCTTACAGTTATCTCACTGGGAGTAAGAAAAATAAAAGGTATGTTGAATATTTTGGTTTATAATGTAAAATAAATCAAAATGGCTACATGGAATCCTCTGGTTCTAGCATTAATTATATCTTGCTTACTTACAGAGAGAGAGAAAGCAACTGAGCCAGTACTAATAGGCACCCCAATTCTCTGAGTGAATCTTGGGTAGAAATGAGTCAATCAAGGAGAGACAAGGTCCCCGAGTTCTGATCAAGAGCTGACTACACGGGACTTCCCTGGTGGCACAGTGGTTGAGAGTCCGCCTGCCAATGCAGGGGACACGGGTTCGAGCCCTGGTCCGGGAAGATCCCACATGCCGCAGATCAACTAAGCCCGTGAGCCACAACTACAGAGCCTGTGCTCTAGGGCCCATGAGCCACAACTACTGAGCCCACGTGCCACAACTACTGAAGCCCGCATGCCTAGAGCCCATGCTCTGCAACAAGAGAAGTCACTGCAATGAGAAGCCCGTGCACCACAATGAAGAGTAGCCCCCGCTCACCACAACTAGAGAAAGCCCGCGTGCAGCGAAGACCCAACGCAGCCCAAAATAATTAAATTAATTAAAAAATAAAATAAAATAATTATCTAAAAAAAATAAGAGCTGGGCTTCCCGGTGGCACAGTGGTTGAGAGTCCGCCTGCCGATGCAGGGGACACGGGTTCGTGCCCCGGTCCGGGAGGATCCCACATGCCGCGGAGTGGCTAGGCCGGTGAGCCATGGCCGCTGAGCCTGCGCGTCTGGAGCCTGTGCTCCGCAACGGGAGAGGCCACAACAGTGAGAGGCCTGCGTACCACAAAAAACAAAAAAAAAACAAAAAAATAAGAGCTGACTACACAGTTTAGAGAAATGAAAACATTTTCCCTTGCTATATGTGCAAATACTGAGCTTTAAAATAAACTGAAACATATCCCTAAAATAAGAGGAAAATCTCTTAGCAAGCTGAAACTTTAATAGTTCTAACACCAGATAATTAAAACTGTGGAACTTTTCAAAGTTTAGTTAAATTACCAAAGAACTACTCAAAGAACACATTTTAAAGAATTATTAATTACCAAAAATAAGGATTAGAGAATTTACCAAATCCAACAAATGAAACTGTTTCATACACCATCCATCCTGTCAGAACTTAGGTGCGTACATAAATTTTTACACCTTATTAACCACAACATATGTAACTGTAAGAAAGCCAAATATAGAACTGTATGATAGGCATTTCCATTTTTAATTACTCTCATAATTACCACTTTTATGCATAAATAGTATGCATAAAATATTTAAAGGGCTTCCCTGGTGGCGCAGCGGTTGGGAGTCCGCCTGCCAATGCAGGGGACACAGGTTCGTGCCCCGGTCCGGGAGGATCCCGCATGCCGCGGAGCGGCTGGGCCCGTGAGCCATGGCCGCTGAGCCTGCGCGTCCGGAGCCTGTGCTCCGCAACGGGAGAGGCCACAACAGTGAGAGGCCCGCGTACCGCAAAAAAAAAAAAAAAAAAAAAAAAATTTAAAAACTCATCTCTACCCAATATTTTAACGTTTTATTCAAGTTTACATGGTTTAAAAGTCCCTTTCCAACAGACAACAAATGTTATCTGAAATAGCTTCAAAAATCACATAAAAGTGCTGAAAAATTAACACAAACTTTCACTATAAGAAAGCTTCTCAATCTTTAATGTGCATGTGAATCATCTAGGGAATTCTGTTAAAAAGCAGATTTAGATTCGGTACATCTGGTGTAGGCCTGAAATTCTGTGTTTCTAACAAGTTCCCAGGTGAGGTTTGTGCCGCTGGTCCAATGACAGCACATGAAAAGTGAGGGTTTACAGCAGCACAGTTGTCAGACTTAACTAGTATCACTACTTAGTAACATTTATTTTCATATAAAAAAAACTAGTAAAAAGTGTTCTCCTGAAGGTCAATGAATGTGACACTCATGTAGAGTTCTAAAGTATTAAAGACTGAGATGCTATTAAATATATACTATACTCACAAAATTATCAGAAGTAGCAGGTTTAGCTGTTCCATTGGAAACCATTTTTGAGACTCTTAATTTTATTCCTTCAGCTGTAATGAGAAACATTATAGAAATTCATAAAATTATAAAATAATAATATTTTCCTTTGTAGCTTCACATTTAATAACCCTATAAAGAGAGTTAATAGTGGAAGCTTTGGGCTGGGTGCTGGCTTTAATATACCATTTGGGAATGTAGGAGGGACAGAAAAAGTTAAAAACGTCATAACTGTTTACAAAAACAACCAGGTTCTCAAGTTGCTAGTCTGAATTCCAGTTTTAGAGGAGTTTAAATAAACAAGCAAACATACATACATGCACACATTAGGTAGTTTCAGTACATTTTAAAGTTCATGGATTTAAAAATCTACAGGATTTACGATATATTTAAGAATAAAACACACCTTTGGCCATGCTTTCACTTCTCTAATGTATAAATTTTATACACTTCTCTAATGTATACATTTTTGTGTTTATGGTATAAATAAAATAGGGAAGAAAAAGATTTTCCTTGTATTTGACCAAGGCTCTTCTTTATGCCAGCAGGTTTAGCAGAGGAGAGATTAAGAGCATGAGTCCTGAAACTAGATGGCTTCACTTGGAATTCTGGCTCTATCTATGTAACCTCAGGCTAAGCAATCAACTTTCTGTGACTCAACGTCCCTGCCTGTAAAATGGAATAATAATAATGTCTACCTCAGAGAATTCTGATGAGCGTTAAACAAATTAGAGTATAGAAGGTACCTGAAACATAATGTCTATGTCCAATAAGTATTCACTTTTGTTACTACAATAATTTGCAAAGAGTGCTTCTCCATAAAGTAGGACAGTTGGTACAATATGATGAGATCAAGTGCATAAGTGGATATAATGAGTGAAAATGAGGTTCCTCAATCTGAAAATGTTTCCATGGGGCGTCTGAAATCTCAACATTTGAGATCCTTCTCTTAAAGGTGTAATACACTGATTTTTTTTAACTGAAGTATAATATACAAAATAAAATACAAACTTTTAAGTGTACAGTCAGAAGAGATTTTTATCAACTCTTGTGTAACTACCATCCCAATCAAGACATTTAACATTTTTATCATCACAGAGGATTCTTTTTTTTCATTTAATATTTTCTTTCTTTCTTTCTTTAGGTCTTAGTTGTGGTATACAAACTCTTAGTTGCGGCATGCATGTGGGATCTAGTTCCCTGACCAGGGATGGAACCCAGTCCCCCTGCATTGGGAGTGCAGAGTCTTAACCACTGTGCCACCAGGGAAGTCCCCACAGAGGGCTCTTTAAATTCCTTTCTGGTCAATCCCAACCCCACCAGAAGCAACTATTGCTTTGATTTACATAATCACCACAGTTTACTCCTGCCTGCTCTAGAACTTCTTATATAAAACCGTAAGGACTCAATATTCATTGGCTTTGACTACTTTCACTCAACATAAAGGTTTTGAGATTTATTCATGTTGTATAGTGGTGATTACTTTTGCTTCCCAAACAGTATTCCATCGTATAAGTATACCACTATTATTTTATCCATTCATCTGTTGACAGACATTTGGGCTATTTCAGCTTGGGACCATGAAGGATCAGGCTGCTATGAAAGTGCACACAGTGTCTTTCTGTGGACATCTGCTTTCATTTTCATTTTTGGATAAATATTTTGGAGTGGAATGGCTGGGCTATATGGTAGGTGTATGTTTAACTTTTTGAGATACTGTCAAACTGCTTTCTTAAAACTTCTTATGACTTCTTCCATAATGTATGAGCGATCCAGCTGTTCTACATCCTCTTCCGCGTTTCATGCTGCCAGTCTTTTAAATTTTAACCATGCTAGTGGATACATGGTAGCATTTCACTCTGGTTTTAATTTGCGTTTCCCTGACGACCAGTATTATCGAGCACCTTTTCATGTGCGTACTGGCCTTTCCTTTGGCTTCTTTGGTGAAGTGTCTATTTAAGTATTCCATTTTTTTTTTTTTAACAAATTGAGTTATCTTTTATTGATCTGTAGGAATTCTTATATTCTGGATACAAGTTCTTTGTCAGATATATGTATTGAGAAGGTTTCATCCCAGTCTAGGGCTGGCCTTTTCACTTTCTTGTTTCTCTTGATGAACGTAAGTTTTTAACTTTGGTGATGGCTAATTTACCAACCTTTTTATTTTACGGTAACTGCTTTTTGTGTCCTAAGAAACTGCCTAACCCAAGGTCATGAAGATATCTTCCTGTTTTCTGCTAGAAGAGTTATCGTTTAATCTTTTACATCTAGGTCTGTGATCTCTCTTGAATTAATTATAGGTGATATTCACGGCAGGAGTCTAGGTGATTTTCCCATGTGTTTATCTAGTTGTTCCGCACTCTGTTGAAAATACTATCTTTTCCTCATATAAAGCCTTGCTGCCTTTGTCAAGAATCAATTGACAAATGAGGTTTCCAATTTGGAGCTAATTTAAATATTGTATCTCTTTTAAAAACAAGAGCTTTAGAGACCTCCTATTACATTGGAATCAATCTGGTGCTAGTTAGAGTACATTCTTTAAAGTGTTATTGCATTGATAAAATAATCTGAAGCAGCAACAACAAAATCCACTGAACAATATGTACAGATTTATTTTTGGACTATTTTTTTGAAGTTGTCTGAAATTTCATTTTATTTTATTTATTTATGTTTGGGACTCTATTTTCATACACTGATGCATGTACCCTTATGCCAATACCACACTGTCTTGATTAGTATAACTTGAATTTTTCGTCTTGAAATCAGTGTTAAGTCCATTAATTTAATTTTATTTAGATATAACTTCCACACCATAAAATGCACCATTTTGAAGTGTACAATTCAGTGGATTTTAGAACAGTCACAGAATGGTGCAATCATCATCACTGTTCATTTCAGAAGCTTTTCATCACCCCCACCCCCACCAAAACCTCATACCTATTAGCAGTTACTCCCAACTCACTCCTTCCACCAGCCCCTGGCAGCCACTAATCTATTTTCTATCTCCATGCATTTACCTTTTCTGGACTTTTCATATAAATGGAATCATATAACATACGATCTACTGTAATTGGCTTCTTTCACTTAGTATAGTGTTTTCAAGATCTACGTTGTAACTACAAGAATGTTTAGGTTCTTCCAGATCTTTTGTATTTCCATACATATTTTAAAATCAGCTTAACCATTTTTTAAAAAATCAGCCAGAATTACAATTGGGACTGTACTGGATCTACATATCAATTGAGGAAGTGATGGCTTAATAATATTGACAGTTACAATTCATAAACATTTACTTATTCTATAATTTCTCTTGGCATTGTTTTGTATTCTTCAGTGCAGTTTTCCACATTTTTTTCCATTAAATTTATTCCTAAATATTTTATTTTTTGAAGCTCCTGTAAACAATATTTTAAATTTCATTTTTCAATTACTTCCAGTTATATAAAAAAAATCTAATTTCTGTATTTGGACATATATCCTATGATTCTGTTATATTATTCACTTATTAGTTCTACTGTATTTTTTCTTTTCTATAGACTCCTTAGGATTTTCTACATACTTAACGTTGCTGAGGAATTACCTGGCACTCCAGTGGTTAGGACTCCGTGCTTTCACTGCAGAGGGCGTGGGTTCAATCCCTGGTCGGGGAACTAACCCCACAAGCCGCGCGGCACAGCCGAAACAAAACAAAACAAAACCTTGCTGTTTGTAAATAAAAACAGGTTTACTTCTTGCTTTCCACGCTTTATGCCTTTTGCATTCTTTGGGTTGGTTTGTCTTTTGCCTTTCTGCACTGGCTAGGAACTGCTGTCTGATACTGAGTCAACGTGGTGAGCAGATATTCATGTACTTTGTTCCCAATCTTGGGAGGAAAGTATTCACTATTTCACCATTAAGTATGATTTTAGCTGTAGAGTTTTTTCACGCTATTCTGTAATTTGTTTGCTAAGTGGGTTTCTTTTTTAAAAAATCATGAATAGGTGAATTCTGTGATGTGTCTTTCTGCACCTACTGAGATAATTATGTCATTTTTCTTCCTTACTCTTTAGATGAATTACAGATTGAATTTCAAATGTTGAAACGGCCTTGCAACCCTGGGATAAAGTCCACTTGACAATGATGGTCTTTCATTATTCTTCTAGATTTTATTTACTAAAAATAAAATAAATTAAGAGTGGTATGTGGGATCTTAGTTCCCTGACCAGGGATCAAACCTGTGCCCCCTGCAGTGGAAGCACAGAGTCTTAACCACTGGACTGCCAGGGAAGTCCGTTTAAATGAATTTTATGTCTCTACTCATGAGTGACACTGGTCTGTAACTTTCTTTTGTCTTTGTCAGATTTTGGTATCTGAGCTGTGCTGGCCTTATAAAACAAGTTGGGAAGTATCCCTACCTCCTCTATATTCTTTTTTTTTTAACATCTTTATTGGAGTATAATTACTTTACAATGGTGTGTTAGTTTCTGCTTTATAACAAAGTGAATCAGCTATACATATACATATGTTCCCATATCTCTTCCCTCTTGCGTCTCCCTCCCTCCCACCCTCCCTATCCCACCCCTCCAGGCGGTCACAAAGCACCCAGCTGATTTCCCTGTGCTATGCGGCTGCTTCCCACTAGCTATCTATTCTACGTTTGGTAGTGTATATATGTCCATGCCACTCTCTCACTTTGTCCCAGCTTACCCTTCCCCCTCCCCGTATCCTCAAGTCCATTCTCTAGTAGGTCTGTGCCTTATTCCCGTCTTGCCCCTAGGTTCTTCATGACATTTTTTTTTTTTTTTAGATTCCATATATATGTGTTAGCATACAGTATTTGTTTTTCTCTTTCTGACTTACTTCACTCTGTATGACAGACTCTAGCTCCATCCACCTCACTACAAATAACTCAGTTTCGTTTCTTTTTATGGCTGAGTAATATTCCATTGTATATATGTGCCACATCTTCTTTATCCATTCATCTGTCGATGGACACTTAGGCTGGTTCCATGTCCTGGCTATTGTAAACAGAGCTGCAGTGAACATTGTGGTACATGACTCTTTTTGAATTATGGTTTTCTCAGGGTATATGCCCAGTAGTGGGATTGCAGGGTCGTATGGTAGTTCTAGTTTTAGTTTTTTAAGGAAACTCCATACTGTTCTCCACAGTGGCTGTATCAATTTACATTCCCAACAACAGTGCAAGAGGGTTCCCTTTTCTCCACACCCTCTCCAGCATTTATTGTTTGTAGATTTTTTGATCATGGCCATTCTGACTGGTGTGAGATGATATCTCATTGTAGTTTTGATTTGCATTTCTCTAATGATTAGTGATGTTGAGCATCCTTTCATGTGTTTGTTGGCAATCTGCATATCTTCTTTGAAGAAATGTCTATTTAGGTCTTCCGCCCATTTTTGGATTGGGTTGTTTGTTGTTTTGATATAGAGCTGCATGAGCCGATTGTAAATTTTGGAGATTAATCCTTTGTCAGTTGCTTCATTTGTAAATCTTTTCTCCCATTCTGTCACCTCCTCTACATTCTGAAGAGTTGCCTAAGATTAGCATATTTCTTCCTTAGGTATTTGAAGCATTCACTAGTGAAGCCAGCCATCTGGGTCTGGAACTTTGTGGGAAGATTTTAAATTTCAAACCCAATTTCTTTAATAAATATATGGCTATTCCAATTAGTGGCATAGGGTTAGAATTAAGATTAGGGTAGTTTCTTAAGTGTATTTCTCAAGGAATTTGTTCATTTTATCCAAATGCCCAATTTGTTCATAATAACCTCTTACTTACCCTTTCTTGCTGTAGTAATGTCTGCCCTATCTTTCCAATGTTGGAAATTTGCCTTGCTATATTTTATTTCTGGTTTAGATTACCTAGAGGTTAATCAATTTTTATTAATCTTTTCAAAGAAACTACTTTTGGCTTTGCTGATTTTCTCTATTTCCCCCTGTTTTCGACTTCATTGGTGTAGACACAACTTCATTATATCCTTCCTTCTAATTACCCCAGGTTTCATTTGCCATTCTTTTTCTAGCTTCTCAAGATGGAAACATATTATCAATGTTTTCTTGGTAATACAGGCATTTAAAGCTATTAATTTTCCTCTAAGAATTGGTTTAGCTGCATCCTGTAAAATGTGACATGTTATGCTTTTATTATCATTAGCATGAAATATTTTCTAATATTCCTTCAATCCACGAGTTACTTAGAAATTATTGCTTAATTTCTAAACATCTGATTATTTTGTAGATATCTTACTGCTGTGCATCTAATTTAACCATTGTGATCAGAAACATACTCTTTATGATTACAATCCATTGAAATATATGGAGACATTTTTAATGGCCACACATATGGTCTATCTTATTCAACGTAGACTTGAACCTTTATTCTTTGGTTGCTAAATGCAATGTTCTATAAATATCAATCAAGTCAATTAGGTCGATGGTTTTATTCAACTCTAACTGTGACATCTGGGCCACCTCTAGATTGATCTTACTGATTTTTCCCTCAACTATGGATCACGGCTTCCAGTTTCATCCTATGTCTAGTAATTTATCATTGTATACTGGACATTGAGAATGGTATCTTATAGACTGGATTCTCTTATCTTCCTCTGGGAAGTATTGTGTTTTGTTCTAGCAGGCAATTCAAATTATTGCTAGATCACTCTGATCTTTTGGGGATATGCTTTTAGATTTGATTAGGGTTTATTTCAGTTTAGCTTTAGTCCTAGGGTAAATTTCAGTGGTCCTAGACTGTGGTCTTTACTTCTAAGGAGTGGCCCTTCTGGGGTTTTAATGGAAAGCACTTTTAACTTGTTGAGATTTGAATTTCAAACTCTGCTGTGGCAGCTGCTGAAACTTCTGTTCCGCTTCTTAGCCTAATAGCTATTGTTTTCCCCCTGGCTTCTTGGAGTCTCACTTTGCACATACCCAGTTCAGGTATCAGATAAGACTAGAGAGACTTTATAGACTTTCGAATTTCCCCCTTTGTGGCTCTCTCTTTTCTGGATTTCTTCCATCAATCTCCAGACATTCTTACAGCCCCAAATTTCACTCTCCAATTCCTTGCATCAGTAAGATTATACCTGTCTGCTTGTGCTCTAGCCACTGTACTGTCTCACTGACTGGGCATGAACTCTTCTTTCATGGTTCTCTTCTTTCAACAGTGAAATCTCCTCCAGTTTCTGCCTGCTTTTCTTTGCTCTCCAGTGCCTCCAATAGTTAATTTAAAAAAAAAAAAAATCTGTCCAGAGTTTATTCTAGCTATCAGCAGGAAGATTAGCCCCAAACAATTCATTCCATCATTATTGGAGCCAGAACTAACACACTGAATTTTAATATCTCTGCTGTGAATAAGTTTTGCAGATTTCTTTTCTTAATAGAAAAGTCAGAAAAACATGAAAGAATTAGTTGTAGGTGATAATCTGATGAGAGGAGGTAAAAGGAAGTGTGGACACTGAAGACACACTGATTATGTTGCAAATTTTGCTGACTGGGTAGATTATAAAATTTTCACAGTAGAGAAACAAAAAAAAAATTGTGAAAAAGAATGTTACTAATAAGAGAAACCAAAGTAAGAGGAAGGAAGAATGGAATAAAGATAAAATTACTCTTTACATCTGAGTTACATACTTATGTTGCCCTAACAAATGCTTTAATTACAGTGTTTTGGTAAAATTAATAAAATGATAAGACACTTATGTATAAATTAATAGATGAAAACTAAAGCACTAAAACCATAATTAGAAATGCTTTGGGCATGACTGGGAAATTACAGATGTGCACAATTTTCAAGAGCAAGAAGAGGTGATACAAAGAAATTCAGCAATCATCATTAAGAAGACGAATATTGTTTAGGAGCTAAGCACAATATATACCAAATCACTCTTGTGGGAAACAGTGCAGCTGTTTCAATACTTAGACTTTAAGAGCAAACACATAACAAAAGCTCAAACTATTTTAGCAATCTTGAAAATTTCATTACTGACTTCTCTTCTGTGACTGTCTACCATAATAGAGGTTTCTGCAGATACAGTTTTAAAAATATTTTACAGGAAAAAAAGTGTATCTGACCTTGCATCACAGGTAGAGGTACAATATTTCTTTGTTACAATATATGCAATGGTCATTTAATAAGAAAATATGCCACTCACTTAAATTTTCAGATGTTACCATGAATTCTTCAATTTCATCATCAGAATCATCTATTAAGGGCATGAAGGCATATCTAAATCAGAAACAAGGAGTAGTTTTACTAGTGTGTTTAAACCTGTTCAACATTCAGTTTACATCTAAAAGAGTCAGTACACACTTTAAGAAATATATACACTTAAAAAGTTTCCCATAAATTGAAATGATAAAAATTTAATTATTTTACTCTCAAATCAGCAAAGGTTACTGTGAAGAAACTGAAACTGGGGTTCCCAAACCCGTTGGTAAAAGCATCAATGGATCAAATTTCTCTGGAAGCAACTTTGAAATATCGAATGCTCAGGGAAGGGAATTCTCTGCTGTACTTTTTTCTCCATGTCAGGTTTACCTCCCTGCCCACTATTTTTACTTGTCTCCTAACGAAAAGAAGTTGCTAACCTGATTGGTGAAAATAAAGCACACCACTCAAGCCACATTTACTGGGTCCAACAGCATTCAAAAAGCATTGCTGATTTAAAAAAAAAAAAAAGCACTGCTGATAATAGCAACAAAACTAGAAACTAAGTGTCTAATAATTAGGGACTGCTTATATAAATTATGCTACAATCATATGGAATGCCAGAAAGCTATTAAAAGTAATATGGTATGTCTATACAAGATGATAAGGAAAGACACATTTTAAACAAAGAAAGTGCAGAATAGTGTATATATGTATGTATGTACTATCATTGTTGTTGTATAATATTTAAATCTGTTTTTAATCAAAAAATTTTCTATTGAAGTATAGTTGATTTGCATGTTGTTGTATAACTTTAAAGAGAGAGAGAAACACACACACTAGTATATACTTTTTCATTTTTTCCTAGAAGGAAGAAACTTAACAGTGCTTTGCCTGGGGAAGAGGAATGAAGCAAGGGAAGCTGTGGGGCTTCCTGTCACATGTAGTGTAAAGTACAAGTTTCTGAATTTCGCATTCAAGCTCTTTACGATGTTGCTCCCACTTTTCCTTTCCAGCTTTATGTCCCACCAATGTAAGGGTAGTAACCAAACTGTATGGCTTCTTGGCCTCCAAAGTATGCCATGTCTGTTCCCGCTACCCCTAGAAAACCTGCACTCTTTCGCAGGTCAGCCAGTCACTGTCCTACTCCTTTCCTGAAGGTGTAACATAAATGCTGCCTTTTCATGGACCCCTCTTCCACCTTCCTGCTGGGCTTATGTATCTCTTATTTCACTGTCTTGCTTCTGTTACATTTGTCTCCCCACTTGACTGTATGTACACTCTTTAACAGCAAGGACTACCTCTCCAGTTTCTATAAATGCTGTTTTAACATTGTAGCAGATGATGAACAAATCCTTGCCGAATTTGAACTTTCCTATGTTAGGTACCTCTGATTGTTTGCTGATGGTCTCCACAAAAACATTATTACAATAAGGATAAGGGAAAAAAGGAAGCTCCAAAACGCATCATCAATCCAGCGTTCCATCCAATCCTATAATAAGGACAATTCAAACAAGAAAAGTTAATTTTCTGATAAACATACAGATTTCCCATTCAAATAGTACATAATGACAAGTACTAATGAAATCTTTCCAACCAGTAAGTCTTCCAAATGAATAAGCACACGTTTTTCCGAGAAACATAAAAACTAAGAAATGCTATCTCTATAAAATCATTATGCTTACTTCAGTAATATTAATGCTTACTTCAGCCTTATAACCAATATAATGAATAAAATCCTAACAAATTATATAGTATCATAAAAAGAATTAGAGGGACCTCCCTGTTGGCGCAGTGGTTAAGAATCCACCTGCCAATGCAGGGGACACAGGTTCGAGCCCTGGTCTGGGAAGACCCCACATGCCATGGAGCAACTAAGCCCGTGCGCCACAACTACTGAGCCTGTGCTCTAGAGCCTGCGAGCTACAACTACTGAGCCCATGTGCCACAACTACTGAAGCCCGCGCACCTAGAGCCCGGGATCCGCAACAGGAGAAGCCACCGCAATGAGAAGCCCATGCACCACAATGAAGAGTAGCCCCCGCTCGCCGCAACTAGAGAAAGCCTGCACACAGCAACGAAGACCCAACACAGCCAAAAATAAATAAATAAATTAAAAAAAAAAACAATTAGAGTTTAAAAGGGCTTCAGAGGTCAATTATTTTCTAGACAAGAACAGTTTCTTCTCTCACTAAATTATCCCTACAGCAGCAGAAGTCCAGGGTTTTCAGAGGCCTCCTTATAATTATTTATATAGAACTACAGACTATTTCCAAATCAAGAAACCCCCAAGAGGGTCTTTTATTATTTTAAGTCTGAGAAATGTATCTTCTTCTAACTAGAGAATCCATGGAGGGTATCTCCTGAATGTTCACAATGAGTATACCATCCTAGAAACATGTCAGGCTTAAGGTTTACAGTCCTAAGTACAAAACAACCCAATTACACTGTGTGCTGGAAGAAAAAGATTTCCTGTTACCTAAAATTATACAGGGGGAGGATTCCTTTTCAAAATACACAAAAAGAAAAGGGCATAATTGGAAAAGGAGATTTAAGAGGAACTTTTTCAGACATTTAAAGAAGGCAAATGTTTTTATAATTCTTTACAAAATAATTCCAAGTAAAGAAAATCTCCACTCAAATTATCTGTCTACAAACACAAAATTCTTCAACCTTACAGAAAATCAAATAGAATAATTAAAAATGAAAACTGTTTAAATAGGAAGATTATACTTACTGATTGACATTTTGCAATTCTAAATGTCTTAGTTGTCCACACCATAAACACTACAGATGCTGAAACACACCAAAAAAAGTCAACCATTGAAAGAATATGCAATACTAAAATAATGTATTTTAAGAGAAAAGTTAGATAGCTTACCCATTATGGCAAAGATCAGGGTATTTGTGAAGTGCCTGTACAAAGAAAATTTCACTGTGTTCTTTCTTAGCCTTAGAGTTTTCATAGTTTGTGCCAAACTTATAAAAATGTGAAAAAAGTTAAGGAAAAAATTTTAAATAGTAATATACAGTTAAGATAAAAAACAAAATAAGAATCTTCTGCTACATTTCCAAACTTAGCACTGCTATATAGTACTGCTACATATAATTCCTATAATTTAAAACTAATAAACACACAGAAAATGTTGTCTTATCCAATATTGTATAATCATGATACCAATTTCATCACAGATATTGTTTTACAATATACCACTGTCTGAACTAAGTAAACACACTTCAAGGAAAAAAAAACATAAGCAAGAAGACCTATGATGTGCTCCTTCAATGCCAAGTTCTTGAAACAGAGAACAGAGCAGGACACACACCAAATGCCAAGTCCCCCTTAGGCCAGACACTCTTTACAGATCCCATCATGACATGCCACTTGGCGTGTGCTTTTCTGTCTGTTTCTTTCTTATTTTGTTGTTTCTGGTCTATTCTCATTTTATCCTCCAAATGACCATAATTAAGAAGTTACATCATCTGCCAATTCCATTTTATAAACTGAAACTGAAATACGTCAAGTAACACAAATCTGGACTTAGGTAAAAACAGACTTTATTGAAGAGATTATTGCAATAGGGAGAATGTTCCGACTATAAGATCCGAGAGAGTCCCAAAGGTCAGGCAGGGAAGGGCTTTGCTTTTATAGGGAGGAGTAAACAGGTGTTGAGAGCAGCAGGTGTGAGAAGTGGGTGGCCTGACGGGACAGTTGCTCCGAGAATGACTTTCCTTGAAGTCTGCAGGTTTTCAGGAGGGGCCGTGAAGGAGGGCTGCGGGTGGATGAAAGCTCGGGAACCCGAGGGAGGGAGAAGGCTTAGTTTGGTCCAGTCTGGTATTTTGTCCAGATTGGTCAGTGGGTACATAGGTCTGTGTCTGGCCTTGTCACAAGTGAACATGGGGGCACCTGGGAGTCTCATCGAAGTCCTATGGGGAAAGGCATCTGTTTGTATTGACAGTAAGCCTTTTCCCGGAACACGAAAGGGTGGAGGCTGTCTTAACCACGGCTGTTCCAGGAGCACGGGGCTCAGGTAAAGTGCGACACTGTCAGGTACAAAGAAGCAGAACGAGGCTTGTCCACTGGCTCCTCAGTAGTGCAGCTGTGCTCAAGCCAGAGCTCTGTAAACGGGAGCTGCTTCCTCTGCAGCACCTGCCAAGCCCCGTTCAGGGACCACACTCTGAACATCCATAACAGAGTTGAGCAAAGGAATGGAAGTGGCACGGTTTGCACTTAGGCCTTCTATTTAAATTCCAAATACTTCACTCATCAAAAACTTCACTTTAGTACTAAAACTACCAAAGCTGCTTTTCAATCTTTCTGAATGACCAATAAGTTGCAACAGAAGATCAATTTCTAAAATAGCACAACTCAACCAATTAGGCCTGCTGTCAGAATTTACAGACATGCAAATGTGCTTTATCCAATAAACATGATCAAGACCGAATACTTCTGAAGCAGTAATGAAAGCACACAGGCCCCATGATCCTGACAAGAGAAGCACCTTGGACATGCTGCTGCGCTAGGAGAAGGATATCCACCAGCACAAGCTAGACTCGAGAAGAGACAGAGGGAGGCTGGCCAGGAGCACAAGATCAGATCATTTGCCTGCAGCAAAACAGCAAAAGAATAAAACAAGCAAGCAGGAGAAAAGAGGCAGAAGGCTGTGGCTTTGGGCGCTTTCAGGCTATTTTTTCTATTAATGTAGAATTAGATTCTTACAGGAGGAGCTAGATGAGGTTCATCAAAGGTGAAGGAAGCAGGGTCATTATCCCAGCACTCAATTCTACAAGGACGTAGTCCTGCTTCTTTGCTTGTCATTGGTAATCATTTAGGAAATCCACTACCTTTTTGTACAGAGAAAGCAGACTTTTCATCTCAGTAATGAAAATTACCAAACGGCAATCTAAAAGCAAACGTCAGAAATTCAGGTTGAGGCAGAAACGGATAATGCTAAATTTCCTTTCTCTCACCATGAAATACTAACCAAGAGAACTTTAATTTCTGGATTTCTTTATGACTTTTACCTCAAACATGTTTATTAAAAACGTTATTAATTAAGCAAGCTAAATCTTTCCCCTTATTTTCCTTATCTCCCCATCCCAATCTGGCTCATTATGTGTTGGACCAAAGCCATTGCTGTCCATAAAGGCGGTAAGTTACCCTCATTCAAATCCAGATGGAATCAGAGCATTTACAGCCACTTTCCTCTGGAATTTTCTGCCAAGTTGCATTACTGTGTATTTTTCCCAATGAACCCATGTACCACCTTGGAGATGATTAAGAACAAGAATACTTTGAAATACGTATCTGTAAATTACCAGGAGAAAAGATAATATAGATTTTTAAAATGTAACGTTTACAAGGCTCTAAGCATATACAAGTTTAGAAGTAAGACAACTCCAAAAGGAATAGATGTCTGAAGCTCATTTTCTAAACTCACAGTGACAGAAGAGAAGACATGAAGATTGGAGACAGCAACGCTGAGCCCAGTAGCTAGTTCACCTCCCCTGCAATTCTGCCTGTCCAGGTCCCAGGATGTTCGCACTGCCTGCCCCTTATCCTCAAGTCAGGTGAGAATCCCTGACAAGCGATGAAGCCGGGGCTTCGGCAGAGTGGGCTCCACACTGGGGATGAGTACTCAGAGCTGGAACCCTGCTCACCTGCAGAACTGAGGGACGGACTTCACCTTTTGAACAACTGAATGACTCTACATGGTTTTTTTTTTTAGTGTAGAGAATATGAAAAATTACATTAGAGTCAGAAATTTTTACGACTCGGAGAAGATCAGATTTATATTACGATAATTTTATTCAGTAAACTTGGATTCTCAACTGGTAGCTCTCAACAGAAGTAGAATCCAGTTTTCAAGCAAGTTGGTCGAAACAACTCTTTAAATCAGGTATCATCCCTTTACTGACACCCCTCGGACACTAGGGGCTACCTGGACATAATTTAGGAGGTCTGCCAATGCCTCACTGTAGGAAAAACTCCTCGTGTGAATGAAGTGTGTGTTTATATATAATCTGTGAAGAGGCTCCACAGCTTTCATCAGATTTGCAAAGGCATCTCTGCTGCCAGAACCCAAACAAGGCTAAGAACCACTGCTTTCGAGAATAAAAATAAATTAAAAGATTTTTTTTGTTGTTTTTAACTTGGAAGCATATCGAGAATTCACAAACAGGGAATTTAAAGAATAGATAAGACCGGGTTTACCCACAAGGAGCTCAGAAAATCCTACTAACAGTGTTACACCTGTTAGCGCACCTTCAGAAAGGGACAGCTTCCTGTAGAGAAGGGACACAGGCAATTTCAAGCCCTCCGGCCCTCCCTGTGAGAGACAAAGATGGGAACATGGAAAGAAACACAAGGAAAACAAAATCACATTTTACGTTAAAAGCTAAAAGACAGGGCTTCCCTGGTGGCGCAGTGGTTGAGAATCTGCCTGCTAATGCAGGGGACACGGGTTCAAGCCCTGGTCTGGGAGGATCCCACATGCCGCGGAGCAACTAGGCCCGTGAGCCACAACTACTGAGCCTGCGCACCACAACAAGAGAGGCTGCGATAGTGAGAGGCCCGCGCATCGCGATGAACAGTGGCCCCCGCTCGCCACAACTAGAGAAAGCCCTCGCACAGAAACAAAGACCCAACACAGCAAAACTAAATAAATAAATTAATAAACTCCTACCCCCAACATCTTCTTTAAAAAAAAAAAAAAGCTAAAAGACAATTATCAAAGACAATAGTAACAAAAAGAACGGTGTAAAAATAAAAGCTTATGAGTTTCAAAGAGGACATAAACGTCAACAAAACAGATACAAATAATGTTCTGGATCCACAGAACCCTGCATTCTGCTCTGACCAGGTCGTAGTTTCTCTAGAATCCCTCCCATTTCCACGAATGCACTTTAGAGGGTCCTGCCTAGGAGAAGAAAATAGTGGAATTGCCCAGACTCCACTGGAGTCACTCAGTCAGCGAGGAGGAGCCTCAAGGATCGGTTAACACTGTCTCTGAAACTTTTCCTGCTGTGCTGTGGCCTCTGGCCCACCACCTCCAGCGAACTCACTCTCTTGCTGTCCGCCGTGACCCCTGGAATGAACCAGGCAGACAGGTGCGCCTCGGGAACTCATCTCTCTGCAGCGCTAGCCACTGCTGAGCACCCCTCCTTACCAAAGCTTTCCTAGCCTCCACCCCAGGACGACTTCCTGGTTCTCCCACCTCCCTTCGCCCTGGACTTCCTTCCATGCATGTTTCCGCCCCACGAGGCACTATCCTGGTTCCTCTCCACTTGCTGGTCTACCTGTTCTTCTTGGGTCACTTCCACGGCTGCGACCTTCTCCCACACAAAGCTGACTCCCACCTTCGTCACCAGCTCTGACTCCTCTTGCTAAGCCAGGCTGGGACTTCCAACTCTCTTCTTCACACTAATGCCCCAGGCAACTCAACCCTCACCCACTGTGGTCCCTTATCCATGTTTACCACCCTGAGAATGGCAACACTGGTCCAGCCACCTACTTGAGACGTGCATGTCTTCCTGGGAGCCCTCTCTCCCTTTCCCCACCCACTTCTAGCCAGCTTGTCATCCAGAGTCCTTCTTCCATTTCCTCTGCCCCACTTCTAACCCTCACTATCCCTCCTTTGGCCCACTGCAAAGGACTCCTTACTAGACTTCCCAGCTCTAGACTCTCCTTTCCCAGGCATTTTTTAAAATGCCATCCTTGAGTTCTTTCTTACAAGATTTCATCATGTCATTCACCTGTGCAGCCTCAACTCCTTGCTACTTTCCACCTTCTAAACTCTCGAGCATGTCATTCTATCCTTCCCTTCTGGTCCCACCTTCTATGATTCTCCTACACACGTTACCTACAGGCAAGCTACTCTGAGACATCGTGCCACTGTCTCTATATTTTCATGCTTCCAACTATTTGGTCCCCTTAAATCTTCCCAGAATGCTTTCCCCTCAGTTCTTTTCCTAGTAAACCCCGATTTGTCCACTCAGTCTCAATTAAAATGTCACCATCTCCCTGAAATCTTTCCTGATTTTCACCCTGGAGTAAATTTCTCTTTCCTCTATCTGCACAGCACCTCTCTAACGTGGCAATTACTATCGCTATGTTGCTCCTAGTTATGTATTTTTCTTCCTTACCAGATCGCTCAATATGTGCATTTAAGTTTGCTGAACTACTAGAAAAAATAAGGATATTTTTTGTTCGAGGAATCGTTACTTTTTCACCTTCAACTAAATTTCTATATTGAGGTAACAATAACGCATGAGTATATTTCTCTCTATTATTATTACACACTAAAAATAATCCGATTTTAATGATACAACAATTTTAGGACACAGTAAAGGATATGAACCATACAAAAATGGAGTCAATAACGGCTAAAATAATGTCACCAAATACAACAGCTAAATGGTTAGAACCCTGAAAAATAAAAATAGGGGAAAAAATCTGAATGTAAAAGTTTCATTGTATTATAATAATTATCATCTGATGAAGAAAAACAATTTATCTCATATCATTGTTTTATAAAAGGCCACATAAAAGATGTTATTGCCTAACAGAACTGTGTTTATGAGCACGTGGAAGTTACCTGTTTTGGTGTCAACAAATGTTTGTCATCAACTTGTCCCGTGATAACGTAAAAGTGTGTTATAAAGTGGCAAATAAAAGACAGCGCATCCCGCCCAACTCAGGCCAACCATTTCAATCTCTGCCCTCTCCGCACCAAACCTGCAGCCACGGCTCCTAAAGAAACGGACTCCTCATCATCCCCACGTGTGTGAAAGGACATGCAAAAAGTAAAATAAGGAAAAGGAACTGTGTGGAAGGGTATAAACAAACCATAGGCTGGATGTGTACTCAAGAGCTGACAGAGAATCATATTTAAAACGGTCACATCTAAGATGCTGACTGTGTAAAATTTTAAAGAGATACAATGCAATCTATCCATGGGGTGTTTATCCTTTCCATTTTCTTTCTAGCAAAGAGTAGTTTTCTGTGAATTATACATGTAAATGCGAAGTTCTTCATTATTATGTAAGAGTAAAAATAAATGCACCTTTCAAGGAGCAGGTGTATCTAACCCAGAATGCAGATGTGTCAAAGACACCAGAAGAAGAGTGAAGCTTTTAACATTATTGGACAAATATCCTGCTTTAAGGGTCAGATCAACCTACATGAAGTAGACGTACGTGGCAATATACAGATTATTCACTCTGTGCACAGTGATCTGATTTAAACATCTAATCCAAAAGACGTTTTGAGTAAAAATTACAAGGTTCTCTGAATCAAGTAAAAATATAAGAAGCTTCTTAATCACTCAGTTGTCAGCCATATTATTAAGGAAAACCTAGAGCTAGAAATGTAGGGGTCTTCACAGATGCAAATATTCGCTCTTCTCTAGAGTAAAGCATTGCTGCCCATGTTGCTAGAGCCGTTTCTCCCCAGAACACTACCTCCTCCTGGTTTTTCCAAGCGTGGAGTCTGCTGAATCCCCCAAATTCTGAGCCCACAGGAGTCAGGGAAAACTTACAACCAAAGGAGACTTTAAAAAGCAATGACACGTAATATCTGTATGCACAAAAGGTAAAATTAACTGCTCTTCACTTACACGTTTAAGCCAAGGGTTAAGGAAGAAATGAATGTGTTCAGACTGCATAATGATAAAGATGAATGTTCTTCGTGAAGAGCAACCACGAACATTTTTGAGATGGAGCTAATTCCTAGGATGACGTCAGGTGGTGTGTTCATAACCACATCATTTAAAAAAGTGCTCTGTTTAGCCTTATACTTTCAGGACGTGTTAGAAAAGGGAAAGAGTCCACACGGGGGAAAATAAACTCAAATTGGGCCTTTATCACAAATTTCCTATCTTTAAAAATTCATCTCAGGAGATAGAAGTAAAATCGTATTTCACAGCAACGACAAAAAAAAGTGCAAGTGGAATGATGTAGTTTTTACCCCAATGACTCTTATCACGCCTTCAGCAGCTGCAAAGATAAAGTAAAGGATCCCCAGTCCGATGACCCGGTGCATGACTGTTCCTAGACGAGGCCTGGTACAAGGAGAAGCAAACCGAAAAAAGAGAAAGAAGAAGCAAGGTAAGTAAAATGTATCTGACTACAGTAACTGGCCCCATTTCCAACACCAGGAACGTCGCTATCCAATCACGTCAGTCCCTTCCCACCTCGGAGGTACTTTGTTTTGGGAAACAGCATTGTTTCCTGGGAAGAAGGCAGAAACAGGCTCAAGGAAATCTAGCCTCCTTCTCTAGGACTTGAAGCTGTACTGATGCCTATGAAGCAACATTTTTGAGGCCAGAGGATCTTGCTGCTGAAATCCAAGCAATATGATTAACATAACCCAGGTACTATGTCTACAGAATGGACGAGAAGAGTGATGAAACCTAGGAAGTGAGCGCCAACTTCTAAGTGTCACTGGCAGAAATAATCATTTAATTCTTTCACTAACAGAGATTGTAAAGTGTTCTGAGATGTGTCTTGTCAGCGATAATCCACTGATTCTATGACTTGGGCAGAGAAATAGCAGGATGTCAGGAGATCGAATCCCACTGCCTTCCCCTCTTAATATTCCCAAACGACAGTCCGGAAAGACTTCAGCTTTCATTCTTCGGATTGAAAAGAATTAAAATAACAGTTTTGATTCTTTGAAAGTATAAATGAGTTGAGAACATGCAAAGACGATGATTTTTGCGATTAGTCATTTGAAAATAGAACTGAAATTTCGAGAATTCCCTGGTGGTCCAATGGTTAGGATGCGGTGCTTTTACTGCCGTGGGCCCAAGTTCAATCCCTGGTCGGGGAACTAAGGTCCCTCAGGCCGCACAGCGTGGCCAAAAAAAAAAAAAAAAAAGAAGAACTGAAATTTCATGACACTTGCAAATCAGAATTTATTATGAATATGTTTTAACTCAAAAACCCTCTTTTCAGAGTAATTAGAAGAAAAAACTGGTTTTGAAAAAAAAATACTTATGATGAAAACTGAACTAATACCCATAGCTCATATTTCAGACAATTTATCTAATTTAGTTAATCTAAATTCTGGTTCACTATAGCCAGCTTACTGGAACCCTGCAACAGCCAGAACTGTTACCGCTTTGTAAGGGTTGAACACAAGTTGACAGTGAAGGGATTCAGTCAAAAAGGGCTGAGCCCTCACCCACCAGCTCAATCTTCTATCCCTTTCTCAGCCACCACCTCTGCACCCTGGCACCTGATGCTCATAACTACAACTGTGAGCTGCCACTGGGACCCAGAGGGTTTTGTGTTCTATATACTGTACTGAGGCCAAAAAACAAAAGAAAGCAAAACAAACGAAAAGAAGGTTTCCTCGCTACAGTCTTGGTAACTGCACCAGTCCGGAGCTCAGAAGCACATGTGCGTGCATTAGTGCACGCTTACTGAGTGCACGCTGTGTGCCGCCCAGCGCACTGGGGCCTTGGGATACAGCAGGACACAATACAGGGAAGTCACACACAAGTGGGGGGAAGAGACAACAAATGCTAAGAAACACATCAAAAGGCATGAGGGACTAGAGCGGTGGAGGATGGGCACTGGTTAGGGTCCCAAAGGGCCATCCTCCCTGGGGGGTGACGGTGAGGCAGAGAACTAAAGGAAGTGAGGGAGCAAACCATGCCTGGGATCGGGGGGGAAGCTGACAAGCAGAGGCCTCTCCTGCACTGTGAGACACGTGTCTGCTGTGTTTAAGGAACAGTGAGAGCAAGAAAAGCAGCAGGAGGGAGCAGAGTGTTTGGAGGGAGAGTGGCAGGAGATGAGGTCAGCCATCGGAGAAGCCACAAGATGGAATCTGGGTTTCACTGAGTGAAATGAGCAGAAAACTAATGAAATTGGAGTTACATCTTAAGAGAATCATCCTGGCTGCTGCTGTGTTTGAAAAGACTGACAGGAGACCAGGGCAGAAGTGGGGAAACCAGTTTGGAGGCTACTGGAGTGTAGTCTCGGCAGGAGAAGATGGTGGCCTGGATCAGGGTGGTGGCTGTGGAGGGGTGGGATGGGCTCATTCTGGACACTTTCATCAGTCAGAGCCACAGAACTGGATGAGAAAGCCTCGGGGATGCCGGTCACTAAAGCAGAGGTCTGGGGCCTGAGCCCAGGGCCCCCCAACACTGCAGCTCGGGAAGACGAGGGGGCTCGGCACAGGAGACCGTGAAGGAGCCTCCACGACCGGGCACCTGCAGGGGGCTGAGCGGGGCCCTGCGATTCGGCAAGGAGAGGTCAAGGTGACCTTGACAGGCGCAGTCTCAGTGGAGGAATGGGGCCAAACCTCACAAGGACAGAAAACGAGGGAAGTGGGAGCGGCCAAGTACAGACAACACATCTGAAAAGCGCTGCTGCACACAGGGGAAAAGCAATGAAGGAGAAGCAGAGGAGAGGGCCATCCGGGTTCAAGGGAGGCTCTGCTTCTGAAGATGACAGAAGTAACAGTGTGCTGACGGGAACGGCCCACCGGAGAGGGAAACTGATGCTATCAGAGAAAACAGGACAGACTGCTGGGACAGCTTCTTTGACAGAGGAGGTAACAGGACCCAGGGCACCAGGGCAGGGCAGGGCTTAACCGCACACAGGGATGGTCCACGCCGTACAGGAGCAGAACAGGCTGCGTGTGGTCCAGAGGTGGGGAGGATGACACAGACCTGACAGCCGCAAGTCCCTTCTGGTGGCTTCTAATTCCTCGGTGAGAGAAGAGCCAAGATCAGCTACGCTGGATGAGGGTAGGGAGGTGCGAGGAGACAGAAGGGGTGAATGGTCTTGCGCAGAGCGGAGAGTCAGAACACGAACGGCACGGGGACCAAGAGGTGCCAGCAGCACTGAGGGCGCCCTTCAAGTTCAGAGTCACGGAGTGAACTGAGCCAGGCAGTGCGGCGGGGTGTTCTCCTCAGGCTGACGCTGCAGCCCCGGCCGAGCCTGCGCAGATGGAGAGCCGGATTTATCGAGGAAGGCTGACAAAGGAGAAGGCGGAGGGCCTCAGGGGTGGCAGGGGTCATCAGTGCCCTGCCGGACCGTGGAAGGCGGTGGGATCAATAGGCCGGAGGCCACACCAGGGACCAAAAGTGCCTACAGCTGACACATTAGAGAAAGGAAACAGGAAACGGGGGAGGCTGAAGAGTAGATTGCTTCAATGTGCCACCATGGAGAGGGTGCAGCTATACACAATAATAAATAGATAATAATCAAGTCTAGAAAACGGCCAGGGGACTCAGTAGTTGAGGGGAGGTGACAGGTAAGAGCGGCAGAGGTGAGGGGGTGAGGTCAGGTTTCTTAAAGGATCCTCACACGGATACTCAAATCACAGGGAATCCTGACAGTGAAGTGCTGAGGAGAAAGCCAACAAAGCCAGTGCTCGGAGCGGTGAGGGATGAGGGGAAGCCTGGCGGCTGACAAGGCCTGCAACCCGAAGATGCAGCTGTGGTCCAGTGTGAGGGCTTGAGTTTCTGGGAATCAGAGGGTCTTAGGCAACAGGCTCTTCCATGTTCATGCCCAGGGACTCAAAGGTAAGAGGGAGAAAAGCTCTGCTTGAGAGGGTCCCGAAAGCGGGTCCTCAGGCGACTGCCAGGTTTCAGCCAGAAATTCTGCTGACCCTGGTGTTTCATGAGAGCGCTCTCTCTTACAATATCTCATACACAAACATGACCCCTAACTATGTTGTCTAGGAAACAGAAAATGGTCTGAACTTCGAGAATCATTTAAAATCTTCCATTAGCCTTATAGTTGATTATTCATCTAACTATGAAGTTACTGGAATTCAACTTCAGGATCTTTATTTGAGAAAAGAATAAAACAGCCAGTGCATGGAAATCTTTTAAAAACACGTCCTTGCAGGTATTTCCCTCTGGGATTTGTGTTAGGACACTGAGAGGTGCCGGGTTTCACAGGGGTCATAGCGGAGATGGATGGGATCACAGGATGGGGACGCGGTGTCTTTTCTGGGCCCCGGTACTTACTTCACAATGCCGTATCCCAAGCTCACAATGATCACCAGGAGGCGAGCCAGCGTCCTCTTAATTGCAGATATCAACTCCGCAAAGATCAGTAAACTCTGGGCTGAGGGGGGACGAAGGAAAATCATTCGCCCTGGGTCCATCTGGACGCCTGCCGCCAAGAGTCTAAATGTGTACTGTGTACAGTTACGTCCTGACCTCAGACGAATTCGCCACGTTGAATTTAAAGGTCATCTAATCCAAGTGATGTTTGAAACCTCAATGAAGGGGATTCTGATCGGCTCTACTGGGCACAGCTCTCTCACGTCCACTGGAAATCCGTCTCCCCGAGCTCCCCTCTGTTCTTATTCTTCCCCTTGAGGCTACAAAGGATTGTAGCCCTTTCCTGTTCTGTAAATATCTGAAAACCATAACGCCCTCAAGAACTCTCTTTTCCCCAGGTTGCCCTCATCATTTACTCATTCACGCTCCTACCATGTGGCTATCACAGTAAAAGACACACCACGTTCCCTGCCCTCGTGAAGCCTGTACTCTGGTCGGGACAAGTAAACGGACAGAATTCACCAAGTGCTGGAGGTAACGCTGTGTCTCCCAGGATTGTGATGAAAGCGACCTAACCCACACGGGGCAGGAAAAGCTTCTCATGGGAAGTGACATCTACACCAGGGTTTGAAGGCTGAGTAGGAGTTAACCGTTTGGAGGAGGGAAAGGGGAAAGCAAAGGAAATGGCACATGCAAGGGCATGGAGGGAAAAAGAGACAAAGGCAAATATGCTGCAAGAAGTGAAAGTTTGGCATGTCTGCAGCAGAGCGTGTAACGAGGGAGGTCAAGAAAAGAGGCTGGGGCAGAGGCAGGGCCCAATCACCTCAGTTTTAGGCTAGGCCATGAGTCAGGGCTTGTTGCTGAGGGCAGTGGGAAGTCAATGATAGTAAACAAGGGAGTGAAAAAGGAACTAGTCAACTACAGCCCATAGGCCAAATCTGGCCCTACATCTGTTTTGTAAATAAAGTTTTATTGGAACACGGCCATGCCCATTTGTTGTCTGTGGCAGCTTTCATGCTCCAATGGCAGTAGTTGAGAAGTTGCAACACAGACTACATGGCTCGCAAAGCCGAAAATATTTACTGTGTAGACTTTGCAGGAAAAGCTTGCTGACCCTTGGAATAAAGTAGACAGCTTTATTTTATCAAGATTGCTCTACTTAATGGCTTGGAGAGGAATAGACTGTAGGCGAGGAAAACGCTCAGGAGTCTATTCCAGAATTTAGCCAAGAGATGATGAGAGTGCTGGCGGTAAAGACGGAGAGGAGAAAGCCATTCAGAAACGAGTTGTGAATCCACCTAACATTCTTGTTTTCAGTTCATGTTTCTCTGCCTTCTCTAGAAGAAACCACAAGAGACCTTGCCCAACACCTTGAAGAAGTGCAGATATACTAAATTTATTACATTTGCCTAACTGCCAATCTAGAAGCACAAAACAAAGAAGTCAACGGACACGACCTATTCTTAATGTATCCTTGCTGGGTCCTAACAATCACTAAATCATCATTGCTTGATTTTTCTGAAGTCTATCCTTCCAGGACCAATGCTAAGCAAGACAGCCTGGGTTACAGAATTTACGCTTGGGAAAATCAGAAACAACATCAACCCAGGCCCCGTCTGGCGCCTCTCCTTTCCACAGGACTCCTCAAAGACAAGGACAGCAGTCTGGGGTTTCTCTTCCAAGGGCCTTCTGGTGTCATCTCAGAGGGCTTGAAGGCCCTGAGGAAGATAGATGGTCTTTCCTTCTCTCCATGGATCTCAGGCTTTTGCTGCCCTTCACCCAAGTTCACGCCACCCTCTTCTAGACAGAGACGCCCACCACTGGCAGCAAAGGAGCTGACTCGCCTTCTCTGATATTCAAGAATGCTTTAACCCCCGGTCATATGCAGCAGCTCTATCCTTCCTTCTTTATCTGGTTTAGGGCAGGCACACACACATACACACGCACGCACGTCACTAAAACTTCTTATAGGGTAATAATACCTCTAACATGTCTCCCTGGATGTCTGTCTTTTCTTTATTGTCTTGTACATGTCTTTTTAAACTTTTTATTTTGGGAAATTACAAACATTCTTTGACACAGAGAAAGCGATATAATAAACTCCCACGTACCCATCACTCAGCTTCCATAATTATCAACATTATGCTAAATTTGTCTCATCTATTTTCCAACTCACTCTCTTTTTTTCCTGGAGTATTTTAAAATAAAGAGCAGACACAACTACACCCTTTGAAAACCTGTACCACGATCATTTGTAACTGACCACTCAGAAGCACATTCCTGAGGGCTTTCTATCCTTCTGAGCTATCTCCCTTTTGAAGGTTCAGTGATGGAATTAATTGTACCTTCACTTCTCTGGCCCTTTTGAACTCTATCTTCTAGAAGTCTGGGGCACCCATCTGAGGATGCCCCACTATATGCCCTGCCTGCTTGCCACATTCCACTGTGTAAGCTGGGATGGTATCTCCCACGGTCACATGAAGTTCTTTGCAAAAAGGGTGCAGTCACCATCCATCCTGGCACTACTAATTTTACTCCCTGTGGCCAAATTTTCTTTTCTCCTTTGGAGGGGAAAGGAGAAGAGAGAGGATGGGGAAAAATACAGAGAAATACGTTAAAAGGATTGGCAGCCCCCGATGTCCCCAGTCCAGAATTTCGTGTTGTTTAAAGCCAGTCACGGGTAGCTGAACCTTAGGGAACAGGAATTTTCTTTTCCCCAGGAGGGAAGTAAGGGAAAGCCAGCAAGAAGAAAACAGAAAATGAAGACCACACACATGCTAGCTTGGATCAGAGCCCTACTCTGATATTCTCTTCTTGGCTTCCCTCCTCTTCACCTATATGGTTGTTCCCAAACCACTGTATGAAGGTGGGGCGGGGAGTCCCCACAGCTCTGCTCACAAATGCTGGGCGACTCTTGGGTCACACCATATACATGGACACAGTCACCACTTACTTGATAACCCAGTGCTGTTGATGTTTTGGTATTCAGCATAAAAAACTGCTTTTTCAAGCATTCCCAGGAAAATAACAGCTGCAATCCAGAACTGGATTCTTAGTATATCTTTCCAATAGCAGGCAGACCACATCAGCCAGAGTATGCCATATAAGATATAAACGATACACATCACCATGTAGAACTGTGGGAGGAGAAGCAATTTTAGTCAGTTAAGCCTTCTGATCATTTGAAAATTGACATTTCTACATTCAAGTTTGCAATCCTTTATTTTCCAGTCACCATGGAACCAGAAATAGAGGGTATGTCAAAGTGTTAGCTACTAAGGAATTACCACCACTGAGCTCTTAAAATGTTTAAATGTTCCAATTAGGATACAAAACTCATTTTTAAAAAAAGGAAGAAATGATGAGAGATACTCACAATCATCAGAGGCCAATCTGATGCAGAGATATATCCATGAGGCCCCATCATAGAAAGAGAAACTGGTGAAGGCAGGGTGGGGATAAAGAAATTAAGGCATTAAAATTAACAACCAGTTTTCCTTAAGTTTTTCAATGTAAGCTCATTTTAAGACTCCAAGAATACAAACCAAGTTAACGAATGCTGAATTTTAACCTTTGATTATGTAACTGTATGAAGATATCTTTACGTATTTGTATACATGCTCTTGTAAAGTGTGGGCCAAGTCAGATCTTATGCAGACAGCAAAGTAGTCCTGGTCTGAGATTGGCCCTGCCTGAGTCCCTGACCTAGCTGAGGACTTTGTCTTTCTTAATGTAACTTGGATAAATTCTGAACTCCAGGGACTTCCCTGGTGGTCCAGCAGTTATGACTCCGAGCCCCCAATGCAGGGGGCATGGGTTCCATCCCTGGTCAGGGAACTAGATCCTGCATGCTGCAAGTAAGATCCCACACACTGCAACTAAAGATCCCGCACGGTGCAACGAAGATCCCACACGCGGCAACCCAGCACAGCCAAATTAATTAATTGATTAATTAAAAAATTTTTTTTTTAATTTACTGAACTCCAGAATCTAGTTTGGGTTGTTGTCTGAGAGCAATAACAAACAGAGTGCCGAATACAGTGCAAGACTTGCAAGGCTTAGCAACTGCGCCAGTTACTAACCAGCAGAAGCTTAAAGCTGCCTGCTGGTGTCAGAGGAAAAGACGCCACACCTGGGAAGGCAGGGCGCACAGGCTGGGGAGCAGGATGGCAGCAAGGCCCCTGCTCCCTGTGTGGCATGGTCTGGGCCCATTACAGTACCGCCGGGAGGAAGGCCTGCTTCACACTCTCTGGAGCAGCGCCCCCACCAGCTTCCCTGGGGAAGACCAGCTCTGGGCCTCCTTTGCAGCCATGCCTGACTCACCTCACTGCTTTCTCCCTCCTCTCTGGACTGGGTGCCCCCCAGAGACAGAGCCTGGTTTCACTTCTGTGTCCCAGTGGGTGAATCAGAGCAGTTTGCAAATCCCCAGGATCATCACATGCTGCTTGGCTGCTGTCAGCCCAGCAGATACCCAGTACAGAAAATGACCGCTAAAGCAATGCCAGGACCCATGGAAGCATTCGCTCCCTTGAAAACCGCTTAGTGTGAGCCCGCTCTCACATTGGGCACCAGGAGCTACGGTTTCACGAGGCAAAGAGCATCTACCTTATGGGCAGGCAGGGGAGCTCACAGACCGCAGAAGCCACAGTTGCCAGACATGCTACTTCTACTCCTAGGCTACAAACAGATTATTTTTTCTTAAACTTTTTAAAGAACAAAAATTTTGAACCCCTGATGATGGCCATTTTCAAGTAACAGAATATAATCCACTTCAAGTACAATTAAGGTGTCACCTACCCATTTCTACATGTTAAAAAAAATTTTTTTTAATCTGGAAGGATGGAGAATTTTGTATCCCTCTATCAAGTTTAAAACTTTTTAAATTAATCTTTTTTTTTAATTCACCCTTTTATTTATTTTCTTTTATTTATTTTTTCTTGGCCACGCTGTGCGGCTTGTGGGATCCTAGTTCCCCGACCAGGGATTGAACCCTGGCCCTCGGCACCCAAAGTACAGAGTCCCAACCACTGGACCACCAGGGAACTCCCAAAGTTTATCTTAAATTAATTTAAAATTTCCATTCCATTAAAAAAATATATATTAGAGTTAAGATAAGCATAAAGTTCTAAGTACCCCAAATAAACAGATTATTCATTTTTGTGATTAACAGAAAATCATTTTTGAATAATGTGTTTTAACAGAGAATGTAGATTTGGGTTAATGACAAAAATACAGAATACAGTAAAAGCAGACAATAAAACATGCATACTGTTTAACTATACCATTCAAATTCCAGCTTGCATCTGTTTTTTCTGTTTTAATAGAAACAATAAAGATATGAAACCCATCTCTCTGTGTTTTGGCTACAACATCCTGAAACAGAAAAAAAAAAAATCCTTCATGTTATTTTTTTTAATTGCTATATAAGATATAGCTAAACGACTGTCCACCACATTTTAAAACAACTTTTAAGAATTGAATTGGGTTACTTTAAAAAAACAAAACAAAACACAGGTAAAAGGAATGGTGGGCTGTGGAAGGACAGTGGGTAGTGGAAGGATTTCCTCCATTTGTTTTTTTTTTTTTACCACCATCCTCCCAGACCCAAAGGGATGGAGGAGGAAAAAAGCCTTTTCCACTGGCCAATGTTTTCTACTTTTTATAGTTCTACAGGTTTTCCCCCCAATGTTACCATTCTATGTTTTATTTAATACTACCTTTGAAATAGTTTTTCTAATATCCTAGTATAATCAAGCATTTATTTATTTATTTATTTATACTTTTTGGCCACGCCCTGTGGCATGTGGAATCTTAGTTTCCTGACCAGGGATTGAACCCGCACCGCCTGCATTGGAAGCACGGAGTCTTAACCACTGGACCACCAGGGAAGTCCCAAGCATTCAGTTTTTAAATGTGTGTTTTTTAAAATTGAACTGGGGGAGAAAGATGTCAGATAACATTGCTGGAAATGACTCAGATTCGGTGTACAGGCTAAATTCCTTAAGGCACTCTGTTGCTAGCAATCTCACTGAGGCCTGAAACTGCCCACTGGGACTGCCTGTGAACCCTGCAGTGCCCTCATGTAGCTGGACCAAACTTTTCACACTCCTCCTTCCTGAGTATTTCCTATCCTTCCCTCTCATTTCCTACTCCTCCACCTGTGACAGTTTGTGCAAAGCAAAGAGTTGGTCCAGCCACTGCAGAGTGAATGCCCTTCCACTATCAGACTACTCTGTAAGATGGTTGGAGAAAACAGTAGGAAAGCAGAAGAGTCCCAGTCTAAAGGCAAACATCAAGCTCTTCTAAATCCACTTTCAGTCCCTACACTCAACTCCTTGTAATCCTCTCAACCTCTTAGTCTTCTGACTTTGAGTAATTTCCCCAAATTCCAAATTTCCCTTCCCCCTCGTGCTACATCATGGTTTCTATCTATTTCTTTACTTCCTTAATGACGATACAGCTCCGCCCACTGCTGTGCTGCCTCAGGTATTTGGCAGCCGAATTTTATTTTTTAAAATAAAGAAAGACTACATAGAAGTTACTGTTAAATCACACCTTTAAAGAGATTTTTAAACAAAGACAGAACCATTTATGTACAAAATTCACACAGACATATGTAAGGAAATATACTGTTTTAAATAATGCTTCTGGGCCTTCCCTGGTGGCGCAGCGGTTGAGAGTCCGCCTGCCGATGCAGGGGACACGGGTTTGTGCCCCGGTCTGGGAAGATCCCACGTGCCGCGGAGCGGCTGGGCCCGTGAGCCATGGCCGCTGAGCCTGCGCGTCCGGAGCCTGTGCTCCGCAACGGGAGAGGCCACAACGGTGAGAGGCCCGCGTACCGCAAAAAAAAAAAAAAAATAAAATAAAAAAAAAAATTAAATAATGCTTCTTTTTTCTTTCCTAACTCTACTAACCCTACTTTAGATCACTCTCTGAGTATCTGTCCATCAACAGATTCTGCTCAGTCTTACTCTAACTTGTATGTATTTGATTTAAAGGCAAATAAAATGACTTACCGCTGACCCTTCCTGGTTTGTAACACTTCTGGTATTTGTTATTCGTTCTTTATTCTGGAAAAATAAAATAAAATAATTTCATTTTATGTTGTTGCATTTCCATAAGGAAAAATAGTTTCAACAATTAAGAAAATCTAGTCTTCTAGGCTAGGAGGAGAAAGTGCACAAAGGAGAGTGTTCAAGTGTGTTAAATGCTGGTGAGTCAAGTACACTGAAAGACCTTCAGTAGGAGTAATAGACCTAGGGATCTAATAACATGGAGGTCACTGGTGACCTTGACTAGAGCTGTTCTGATGGGATGATGGGGGCAAAGCCCTGACTGGGGTGGGCAGAAGAGAGATGAGGGATGGAATGACAGCAAATCATGAAAGGATGATAAAAGGATCCTCTTCCAAGGATGATGTTGCAAAAGGCACAAAGAAATGGAACAATGGTTCCACTTATTATGTACTGCCACACACACAAAAGAACTAAACCTAATAATTGACAACTTAAGCACCTTCCTTTATCAAAATACTGATAAAACAGAAGTTGATACTTGCATTCACTGGGAGAAACATAAATTCTATTTCAACATCGCAAGACAGGTACTCACATTCAATGAGGGAAACGCCTGTGAACCACGGTTGCAATCTAAGTTTTCATTTTTTGTTGTCCAACATTCGCTGCTGTTGAAATAATGACCACAAAAGTCTTCACTGACACTAAGTTCATGTTTTTGTGACAGCTCCTATGCAAAGTAAGATTCTATGTCATAATTTATTTCCACTTAATATCTAAATAATACCAAAAAGTTATTCAGCTTGGAACACTTGAAACATGCAACAGAACAAAATACCAAAAAGAAAGTTTTGAATATAATTTTCAGTACGATTGAGGTAATCATAACATTTTAGCCATTCTGATGTGCTCAGATACAGTAAAACATAATATAATCATTCTCTTATAGTAATAAAAGTGATTAAGATGTTACTACAAGGAAATGGTTCACAGAGAAATACAAAATACTTTGTCCTGGGGCTATTTCCATTTTACTCCAGGTATAAAAGATTTTACAGAGAAAGAAAGCAGCATTTAATTACAAGGAAAGATAAACCAAACACTCAGTAACATAAAGCAAAGATGGCAAACCCAACTGAGTGCAGGGGGAACACTCATTTACACATCAACTAACAATGAGGCTCCTAGATGGATGAGGAAAACCGCGCTCCTAATGGCAACTCCCAGGCATGAAGAAAAGGTTAAGAGGCTTCCATTGGCCAAATATGAGACAATTTGAGCAAAATACATAAAAACAGTAATAGATTATAACCCACCCAACAAAGTTAAAATCAATGAGTCCATATTGATAATTGATTGACTGACAGACGGATAAGAGAGAGGAAAAGAGTGCAACCTCAGAGTCGAATGCTAATAAATGTAGAAGAAAACATGGAATTAGAAAATCATTGTTTAGCAATCATCACAGTGGTAACTGTGCTTTGATTCAGGCAAGAATCAAAGAATGTTAAAACAAGGACTGATGAAGAAACAGGATATTTACACGTAAATACAAAAGTATTTCTTCACAAATTATTGTTAACAACAAGGAGAAAAGTAGTAGCTTTACAGTGGAGAAACCTGGCAGAAACTTCCTTAACTGATCAAAGTTAATATCACCAAAAATGGGACAAAACGGTATACTTTCTGGTATGCCTGCCAAAAATATAACCTGAATTTAATCACGAGGAAACGTGAGAAATATTCAAATTGAGGGACATTTTGTAAAAATAAATGGCTTGTACACCTCAAATATATCAATGTCATGTCATGAACCACCCTCAACACCTCCACCCCCCCCAAAAAAAACTCTGCAGAAATACAAGGTGATCCTGGATTGGATCCTGTACCAGAAAAAGAAAAGAAAAAAAAAAGGTGCTAAAAAGGATGTTGTTGGGACACTGGCAAAGTCTGAATACGGTTTATTAGCTATTATATCAATTAGCATTGTATCGCTGTTAAATTTCGTAAATCTGATCTTGTACTGTGTAATCTAAGGGAATATCTTTGTTCGTAGGAAATACACACTGACCTAACCCGGTCTCTTTTTCCTCCTCTCACACTCTCCCCCTCCTTTTCCCTCCTCTCCTCTTTCTGGTTCTAGGTTCCCTATTACTAATTTTTTGGACGAAGTGAAACTTTTACATTTCTTCTTTAAATTGAGTTGGTTTTCATTTGTGCGTGACCCACAGTCCCCTTATCAATGGTTTCCACAACTCTGATTTAAATATTTACTAACATTTTTCATAAGATACAAGGAAACTAAAAGATCTGTATTCTCAGAAAGCATATACTTTGATACAATTAAGGCGTTTATTGCCTAAGTCCCAAAATCTGTGGTACTTCTCTATTCTTGGCCTCCTCACTTGATAAGCTAATAAATCTTAAAACGCCTAACTTTTCCTTCATAGATTTAGACACATTTAAAATTTGTGTTTTACTTACTTCCAGCTCAGAATATTGATTGTGACAGGGATGATGTTCCAAAAGCCACACTATGGTAAACTTCACAGGCCCAGGGCAGCTGAATGACTTAACTGTTTAGAGAAAGGAAGTCTCATTTTACAACAATAATATATATACTTTAACATAAACTTAAGGTTTCAAGAATGCAATTGAAAATAGACTACTTTGGACTTCCCTGTGGCGCAGTGGTTAAGAATCTGACTGCCAAGGCAGGGGACATGGGTTCGAGCCCTGGTCCGGGAAGATCCCAAATGCCGTGGAGCAACTAAGCCCATGCACCACAACTACTGAGCCCATGTGCCACAACTACTGAAGCCCGCGCGCCTAGAGCCTGTGCTCCACAACAAGGGAAGCCACCGCAATGAGAAGGCAGCACACCGCAACAAAGAGTAGCCCCTGCTCGCCACAACTAGAGAAAGCCCGCGTGCAGAAACGAAGGCCCAACGCAGCCAAAAATAAATAAATAAATGTTCCTTTAAAAAATAAATAAATAAAATAGACAACTTTAAGGAAACCATGAGTAAAGTATTACCTAATTTCTCCAAAAAGTCACTGCAAAATGAGACAGATAAATTCCTTAAATTAAATTATTACAGTTAACCAAGGCTGAGGCTGGTAGAGTTTCTGGGGCAGAGTACCCAAGAGGTGGGAACTACACAGAGAAAGGGTCAATGAAATCTGCATACAGATCCTTGGTCTCTGGCTGCATAACAGCCTGTCCATGCACAAGGACAAGCTGAAAAATTCTGAGTTCACATGGGGATGGGAACTAGCCAGAGAGGAAAGGCCTCAGTAAACACACCCCGTGTCTGAGAGAGACGCAGAACAGTCACACCTTAGAAGTGGTGCTAAATTAGTTCTAGAGTAAAGGCTACCCCTGATCCCTCCTAAAAGAAGTTAAAAACGAAACTGGAAAGGATCGAACTGACCCCAAAGAAATGTAACTGTCTGCCAGAACAAAGTTGTTCACGGAACACAACATTCTAGTACTCAAGAATGTGAAATTCACGATATCCACTAGCCAACAAAAATACTAGATATACAAGGTGGGAAAAGTTAACTCATAATCGTGACACGAATCAGTCAATTTGACAACGATGTGCACTGTCCTATGTGTCTATCGCAGTTCCACAGTGTTAGGATTACCGTAGCTTCGTGTTCAGTTCTGAAATCGGAGAGTAAAAGCCCTCCCACTTTGTTCTTTTTTAAAATTGTTTTGGCTATTCTAGGTCCTCTGTATTTGCATCTAAGTTTCAGAAACAGCTCTCGCCAGTTTCTACATAAGTCTGCTTGGATTTTGATTGGGATTAATTGAATTTATAGGTCAATCTGGGGAGAATTGCCAGTATAATGTTAAGTTATAGATTTATCAATAGATGCCCTTTATCAGGTTGAGGCCATTTCCTTCTATTTCTAGTTTTCTGAGAGTTTCCATCATGGATAGGTGCTGATTTTTTTCAAATGCTTTTTTGTATATATTGAGATGATTATATGATGTATTTCTTTTATTCTGTTAATATGGTGAATTACACTGAGAGATTTTCACCAGTGGCTCCATATGACGGCATCTTGAATGGAGTAGCTAAGAGGGGTCACCTTAGCTTTCCTTAGGGAAAGCAAGGCATCTGATCCACCAAACAGCACGGACACATACCCGAGGGACCAATGCTTAACTTTGTAGGCACTAAAATTTGGCTCTGGGACTTCCCTGGTAGCACAGTGGTTAAGAACCCGCCTGCCAATGCAGGGGACACAGTTCCGAGCCCTGGTCTGGGAAGATCCCACATGCCGTGGAGCAACTAAGCCCATGCGCCACAACTACAGAGCCTGCGCTCTAGATCCCGCACGCCACAACTACTGAGCCCATGCGCCACAATTACTGAAGCCCGCACACCTAGAGCCCATGCTCCGCAACAAGAGAAGCCACCATGACGAGAAGCCCGCGCACCGCGACGAAGAGTAGCCCTCGCTCGCCACAACTAGAGAAAGCCCGTGCGCAGCAACGAAGACCCAATGCGGCCATAAATAAATTAATTAATTAATTAAAAAAGTCATTCCTAACAAATATTTTTTTAAAATAATAATAATAAAATAAAATTTGGCTCTGTGAGAACTCAGAGACTCAGTTTCATCTTTCACACCATGGATGTAGGCGTGTAAAACTTAACGCCCAATTACTCACTTAAACAGTAACTATAAAGTAGATGATGAGAAGGCTGCTTGGTGAACATGGCAGCAGAACAAGGAGGCTCAGGTGGGCACTTCATCCACCCCCGCCAGCCACAGTGTTAGAGCTACGGTCATAGTTACAGAAAGACCTCTCTCCCATCAGTGCTGGGACACTGCCAGCTTTTACCTGACTAAACCCTCATTTTTTTTTTTTTACGTTTTTGTTCCTAACTCCCTTCTGCTGCTCATTTTTCTTTCTTTAGATATGTTAATACTAAATTGTGGTCTTTTTAGGCTGATCTCGGACATTACATATTGATTTAAAAAAAATTCAAATTCTGTGTTTCAGTGGTCCATATAACTTTTTATTCCCCCATGTAATTTTTTTGTCTGCACCAGTGTTTTAAATGTTGTCTAGACAGTGAGACATGAATTTATTAAAGCATTGAGAGGCCAAAATTTTTTCCTCACCCACCTTGGGCTTCAATTTCCTCTTACCAAGCTCTTATCACCACTGATGATCTATATCACGAAGCTGCTTTGAACCGCCTTTGCTTTCTAGCTGATGGCTGGCCTACTTCCGTCAGCAAAGACCACACACGGCAGAATTCTCCAACAAATGTTCAGAGCATGGTGTGAGAGATAAAAGGGCCACGGCTGTGGGTCCCACGAAGCCAATTTGCTCTACCCAACAAAAAAACTACCCCTTACCCCAAACTTTAACTCTGGCAACCAACTGACCTAGTCAAGTTACTGGAAACACCTAGAGGGGTTAGTGCACAGTAAATATGATCCAATGTAAACTCATTAAAAATACTGCAAACCTCAAGATCTATGACTTGGTAGTCATGACACACCAGTATTTACACAGACAACACAGTCCCTAACAAATATTTTCACTTTCATAAGCTCTAAAATCCTAATTGTTAGTGTCTAATAATTTTTATTTCCTACTGTGATCATGTGTATATTTAGAAAATTTTCAGAAACACAAAGGCTTCATCACAATCATGGCATTTCATATAACCATAAAAAGAATTTACTGAATTTTAAAAGGGATTCAGAGTCAAATTTTGGAGGTCAAATACTTTTTTGCTGAAGACTTCTTTACTAGGTTTTAACTATAATTTTTAAAGAATGATAAAGAATGATTCACATTACATTTTCTGAGACAGGATCAGAAAAATTCATTCTTGAAAATAACTATGACCCGACTGGAACAAAAGAAACCCTTAAAAGGTTAGGATCACTTAAAAACATTTGCCTAGTTTAAAATATATAATATTACAATGTGTTATGTTAGTTTATGTTAAATTAATGCATGAGTTGATACTACATGTTGCTCATTTATAATTTATTGTTATTTTACTGTTATATTAGTTTATTATACTTACCAGAAAACTTGATCTCAGTAGAGTTAAACATAGTTTTCCTAAATATCAAAGGTCCTGATTTCTATAATGACAAACAAAGAAATACAGAAAGCTCTTGTTAAAAAAATTTCTCTCTACTGTTTAAGAGTATAGTTTTATCCTGGAAAATACATAGTTCTAATCCTTTAACTCCTATGCCTGGAGTGATTATTCTTTGAAAACGTAAATCTGGGACTTCCCCGGCAGTCCAGTGGTTAAGACTCCGTGCTTCCACTGCAGGGAGCACAGGTTCAATCCCTGGTCGGGGAACTAAGATCCCACATGCCCCGTGGCTCGGCCAAAAAAAAAAAAAAAAAGGCATTAAAAACATAAATCTGATCACATCACTCACTGGCTTAGAACTCTGTCTCATGTAATCTACTCCCTGCAGTGGATGTGAGGCTCCAGAAGGCTCCTGGGGCCAGCAACACACGGCGGGTGAGTGCGGCTGCCACTGTACGATGACTGCTGTTCAGACGGAGAACCTGTCTGTGCATCTGCAGCTGCTCTTGTGGTATCAACATAAATGCACTTCTGATAAAACAACTGACCCTCTCCCTAAGTTATGGTTTGCCGCGGTCTCTTTATAAGAGACCAAATCTCACTGCCGCTCACAGGGCCCCGCCCACCGCTCTTGCACCTTTCTCGCAGGTCCTCAAAAACATGATACTCCTTCCTGCCCTCAGGATCTTAGCAGTCAACTTGAAACTGACTTGAAATCCCCTCCCTGTCGCTCTCTTTATCTAGTTATTTCCTTCTTACCCCTGAAAGCCCAGTTCCAATATCCCTTTCCTCAGGGTGTCTTCCCCTGGAGCCCACACCAGGCCAGGCCCTCCCTTCCACGGTCTGTAAGACCCATTCCTCACAACCCGTACCACAACCAAAATGAAATCTTACACTAGTTATTTAATGTCTGCCCTCACCAAGAAAAAAAATCCTGTGAGAAGGGATTGCGATAAACGAACATGTGGTTAGGAATTAAAGAAAAACACTGACAGGACAAGCAGCTCTTTCTTGATAACCTCTTCTCCCTCCTCAACAGTTTCAACATCAATAAAACCCAGGGCCCAGACCCTTCCTCTGAGCTGCACATCCACATACCCAATTACCTAAAGGTCATGTCCACTGGATGTCCAATAGACAGTCCACACTCACTTGCCCTAAACCAGACACCTGGTCAGGGAACTCGATCCCTCATGCCACAACTAAGAGTCTCATGCCGCAACTAAAGATCCCGCATGCTGCAACTAAGACCCAGCACAACCAAATAAATGAATATATTATTAAAAAAATTTTAAAAAAAGAACCATTTCTTGATAGATTTGCAGAACAAATGAAAGAAAACTCCACTTTCCTTTCCTGTTCTGAAGAACAAGTTTTGACAACTTGAAATGGGGAAAAAAAAAAAATCAGCCTACTCTTTGCAAAGAGCTTTATGGATTGCTACTGTCCTGAATCACACAGGACTAAAGATTACGTGGGACCCAAAGGTAATTTTTTCTTCCTCACGCAGGAAGCAAAGTCATTCTCTCCCCATGGCCTTTGGAATCTCACCATCCAAAGTATACTTGGCAAAGATCTTTACAGATATGGTCAAGCAGTCTGTATGCAGCCGATTCACTTCCAACTTATTCGGACTTAGTTTATGCTACTGCCTACTCACTACAGAAGCAGCATCAAACAGTAAGTGTGGTTCTCTGAGTTTTGCTTTTTACTGTTCAGAGAAATTTAATGATGAAGATACACAGGCTCTATCACTGGCGCACAAAATAGGGCACCAACCCAGAAGAATCCTGGCAAAAATGGTTGCACTGGGTCTTAAAGATTCAGAAAGATATGTACTCTCCTTCCTTTATGCAGCTTTTGTGTTATAGGAAGAATCTGTAGCCTCTGGTACTTTCTCTTTCCGGTTGAGGAAATCAAAATATAAGTTTTGCCTTTAGAATTGGGACATCGTTTCCATACATGTGGAAAATAGTCATCTCAAACGGAGCTGGATGAAACCTCTGAATCTAGAAAAGCAGGAGATAAGGCCTCTTCGATTTCCTGTCTCTCTTCAGCAAATCTTTCCAAAATTCTACCTCTGCATTCCTCCCACATCATCTCATGTCTACTGGATGTCAAGTTCTCAAATGGCCTGCCCTGGAAAGGAAGCGTTTCCACACACTCATGCCTCCAGACAAGCCTTGCAAACATCCCTTAATTTCTTTCCAAAATTCTACCTCTGCATTCCTCCCACATCATCTCATGTAACTACTGGATGTCAAGTTCTCAAATGACCTGCCCTGGAAAGGAAGCGTTTCCACGCACTCATGCCTCCAGACAAGCCTTGCAAACATCCCTTAATTACACATCCTGCCCCCGCCCCCCGCCCACACACGCTCCCAGAGCTGTGATGTCAGGAACCCAAGAAGAGGGAAAGAGGGGTGGGGTGACTATTGCATGTTCCCTTCTCATTTAAAGAAAGAAAGAAAAAAAAAAGGCACAAGCTCCTTCTAAATTTATGCGGAAACTGAAGCCCTGGAAAATCCACCCTGTGGCCACACGGGTGCGGCCCTGTGGCTGCACCCGGGCACGAGGAGAGGTCAAATCCAAAGATGCCTTTAGGAGTGCCGAGGGGTTCAGGGCTCAGGTCTGAATAAACGAGGACCTGATCTAGCCAGAGCAGGTCGGAGAAGAGCGAGGGGCCAGGACTTCGGGAATGGTGATCCTCATGAACAGGGTTCAGAAGGGATAGCAATCCCCCAGCACACAAGCTTGACTGATCCTCCCCACAGCCCAGGTCGGGCCGGAGGAGGGGGCGCTCCCCGCGCCGAGCAAAGAGCCCAGAGAAAGTATCAGGGCACCCGGGGCAGACCCGGCCAGATCAACAAGACCGAGACCGGCTCCTGGAGCCCAGAGAGCCCGGGGAGGACCTGCGGGCCCGGGCAGCACCTCGCCTGGGTCCCGACACTCCACTTACGTCATTGATCGTCGCTGCCCAGAGCCCGAGCTCGGGGACGGCGCCCACAGCCGCCGGGCCCCAGCACAGGAGGCAGAGGGCAACTCGCAGCAGCGGGCGCCTGGCGGGAAGGCGGCCGCGGGATGAGAACCAGACCCCAGCCCAGCTGGTGGCGGCCATCTTGACGCGGAAGCCGCACCTGGCGCTCCGTGGCGCCCGCCACGCCCCAGGCCCGCACCAGGTGCAGCTCCGCCCCGGGCGGGTTCGGGTCCGGGAACTGTGGCTGGGGCATGGAGGCGGGGCTCAGGGCCGGCCGGGGCGTGGAGCTAGAGGTGGGGCCAGAGAGTGGAAAGGAAAGGGGGCGGGCTAGAGGGAGGGGTCCGAGCATAAAGGCGGGGCCAGGCAGGGTTGGGGAGCCGGGAGAGGAGGCGGGGCCGGGAGGGCGTGGAGGAGATGGGCGGGGCTCAGAGTCAGGCCGGGGGGAGGAGGCGGGGCCGGAGGGGAGGCGGGGCTCTAAATCAGGTCCCCGCTGGAAGCGGCTTCAGCCCGAGGCGGGAAGCTGAGGTCCCAGAATTCGCATGGCTCTGGTCGAATGCTTAGTGGGAAATATAGGATGGAGCTACTAGCTAAGGTTTTTCTCTGTGTATTTCAGTTTCTTGAATCCTCTGCATTTGTCCCCCAACCCCCTCATCTCAGGGGAAATAAATTGTTCTCTAAATTCACGGTAAGTGCCTGGAAAGTGCTTTGAGGTCCGGTCCGTTGAACCCAAGGCGTAGTACTGTGAGTATAATGTCGGTAGGATGGTTAAAGATTTTTAGAACAAAGTTGCCTGGTTACTTAAAGCTCAGAGGGGCAGAGCTTGGGTCTGTCTTAACTGTGTACTTCGCCAGGCATTTTTGACTGTGAAACCTGAGTAAATGTCTTGCTGTCAAAGAGAACTACAGTAGTTTATTATTAAATGTAAATAATGTCCAGAGGGAGAATACAGTCCTAGTTTAACATTGTCATTAACGTAAAATAGGATCGATTTATAGTCAAGAGGATCTGGCCTTATCAGTCATCTTAGTCACTTATTTAGACTAATTACTGAGAGCCTAATGTGTAATAAAGACTGCACGTGCATTCCATACGTGCTTTTCCCAGCAAGCAGTTGTGATCATTTCTATGTGGGTGGAAATAATAGACTACACCAAGGCCTGGAGGAACAGAAAGACCTACCAGATGACTAGTTATTGGTGTGAGATGGACAGTGGCAAGACTGCGAATATTTAAACAGTAGCAGAACATCCAGGTCCTCCTAAACACTTTAGTCTAAGACATCAGAGGGGTAATGATGGTTTTTAAGCAAGGCGGATGAAGTGACCAGATTATTTTGGTTAATCTCAGTCATATGAAAACTGTGTTAAGGAGGGCAATGAGATGATCAGTTAAGAATATTTCAATACTTTGTATGACCAGTTAAGAATAAATTACAGTAATTCAGAGATGGTGGCCTCAACCACAGAAGCTTCCATTAGAATAGAGATTTGGATGGATTCCAGAAATGTGGGAGATGGAGATTTTAAATTAAAAGACCTTGGTGATTGATTAGATATTGGAGCTTAGGAAGGAGAGGAGTTGAGGCTGGAACCAAGGTATCTGGCTGGAACAAATGAGGTGTGGACCATCTGGAAGAGGAGAAAAGTGAGGAGATCCAGGACTACATGGCTTCACAAAGGGGTAATTTATTTAGGTAACTGTACATTGGGGAAAGAGGAATACCCAAACAATTCAAGGAGTGTTGGACTCACAGTCTGAGTTGGTGTTGGCTCCCTATTAGAATGAGAGGCATAAGGGGCCAGGTAATAAATAGAATCTGGGCCCATAGTTGGATCCACTGGGTCCACAGACCCACGTGGTGGTAATTATCCTGGTTCCAGATTGTATAATTGGAATATACATAATGAGTAGCTGAAATGACCTTACACTGGTCCTCGGTGTCTAGAATAAGAGCTGTCTTAATGGGGAAGTCCAGGTAGAATCCTCTGAATCTGCCCTGCTGGCCAAACCATATTGTCTCCTGGGGGGAATGGCAGAAATTAGTGCTGCCTTTAAAAGATGCAATGGTGGTGGCTACCATCACATCTCCATTTAATGCCTCTTCCACTGTAGGTGCTCCTGTTGGTACAATATTATTTACAAAGGACACTTTGTGTCTTTTTCCGTTGATCCACTCACATCCCTCTATCCCAGATATCCTTGTCCCAAATCTTCTGATCTTTCTCCTCCCAGATTTCTGACCAGCTGGCTAAGCCATTAACCACTGCCCATAAATCCATGTATGTTTAAACTTCAGACAACTTCCCTTTCCACAAAAAGTGAATAAACAGATGCGTTGCCTAAAGCTCTGTCCCTGTGCCCCACCCTGGGGACACTGGAAGGATTTCTTCCTCACCTTTGTCTTTCAAGGCCACCCCTGAGCAAGACTAGAGTGCAGCTGCTATCCTTTTTCAACTTGCCCCTACCTATGGAGCCGATCCACCTATGTACCAAGCTCAGGCTTTTAACCTCTCTATCAGCTGGTCATAAATAGGATCTTCCATGCAGCCCTGGGTGTGAACTGAGGGAGAAGCACTTTTGCAACTTTGCTTGATGTCAATGAAAGTAGATAAACAACATCTATTAACTACAAAGCCCTTGATGACAGAGAAATGATTGAAAAAGTTTTCTGAATTGGAAGAATTATTGTTAAAGTGCCCATTCCCCCCAAAGTGATCTACAGTTTCAGTGCAATCCCTATCAAAATTCCATTTTTTCACAGAAACAGAAAAATCCTAAAATTTGTATGGAAACACAGGAGACCCTCAAATAGCCAATGCAATCTTGAGAAAGAAGAAGAAAGCTGGAGGCATCACACGTCCTGATTTTAAACTATATCACATACAAATGTAGTTATTTACAAAAGAGAAAAATATGTACAGATATTGAAAACAAACTTATGGTTACCAAAGGGGAAATGTGGGGAGAGGGATAAATCAGGAGCTTGGGATTAACATACACACACTACTATATATAAGATAGATAACCAATGAGGACCTACTGTATAGTACAGGGAACTCTACTCACTAGTGTATGATAACCTATATGAGAAAATAATCTGAAAAAGAATGAATATATGTATATGTATAACTGAATCACTTTGCTGTACACCTGAAACTAATACAACATTGTAACTCAACTATACTCCAATAAAATTTTTTAAAACTATATTACAAAGCTACAGTAAAAAAAAAAACCCTCCGCCCCCAAAAAAAACAGTATGCTATTGGCATAAAACAGACACATAGATCAATGGAACAGAATAGAGACCCTGGAAATAAACCATTGCATAATGGTCAATTAATTTTCTACAAAGTCTCCAAGAATACACAATGGGGAAAGAACGGTCTCTTCAATAAGTGGTACTGGGAAAACTGGATATCTATATGCAAAAGAATGGATCCTATCTTACACCATACACAAAAATCAATGCTAAATGGATTAAAGACTTGGTCATAGAGCTGAAACCATAAAACTCCTAGACGAAAATGGAGGAGCTAAGTTCCTTTACATTAGTCTCGGCAACGATTTTTTGGATTTGGGACCAAAAGCAAAAATAAATAGTGGGACTACATCACACTAAAAGCCTCTGCACAGGAAAGGAAACCATCAACAAAATGAAAAGCAACCTATAGAATGAAACTACTTGCAAACCACACATCCAATAAGGAGTTAATATCCAAAATATACAAGAACTCATACAACTCAATAGCAAAAAAACCAACAACAAATAGCCCAATTTAAAAAATGGGAAAAACACCAGAATAGACATTTCTCCAAAGAAGACACACAGATAGCTAACGGGCACATGAAAAATGCTGAACATAACTAATCATCAGGGAAATGAAAGTTAAAACCACAATGAGGGTCTTCCCTGGTGGTACTGTGGTTAAGAATCCGCCTGCCAATACAGGGGACACAGGTTTGAGCCCTGGTCCAGGAAGATCCCACATGCCGCGGAGCAACTAAGCCTGTGCACCACAACTACTGAACTTGCGCTCTAGAGCCCACGAGCCACAACTACTGAGCCAGTGTGCCACAACTACTGAAGCCTGTGCGCCTAGAGCCCATGCTTTGCAACCAGAGAAGCCACCACAATGAGAAGCCCACGCAACACAACTAGAGAAAGCCCGTGCATAGCAATGAAGACCCAACACAATCAAAAATAAATAAATAAATAAAAATGTTAAAAAATCACAATGAGATATCACCTCACACCTATTGAGATGTCTATTATCAGTAATAAATAATGATAATACATAAAAGATTAAATAAATAGGACAGAAAGAAAACCTCTTCCTTACAGTAGGACACCAACAAGTAAATATAGAATGAATGATGGAGTTAGGAAATCATCATTTGGTAACTGTCATACTTACACTTGACTCAGAGAGAATCATCAATTGGATTCTAAAATTAGTAAAAGTTTGTTGAGGAAGTATCTGCCACAAACTATATTAATTACAAAGGGGAAAATAGTAATTTTATAGTAGAGAAACCTGGCAGACACCACCTTAATGATCAAAGTTAATATCACAAAGAGTGGGACAAATTGACATGATATGTCTCACACTGTGATGCCATGAAAAGAAGCAGCATCACTTCTGTGGTATTCCTGCCAAAAATGCATCACCTGAATTGAATCATGGGGAAACCTCAGATAAACTCAAATTGAGGAACATTCTACAAAGTAACTAGCTAGATTGAATTTCTAACAGTTGCTTTTCACAAGAAACTTGTATATCATATAAATATTTTTCTATTGTGTCAAAGTTTTATTGTTTACTAATGCTTCATACAGACCCCTTTTTATGCAACCATTAAAATTCAAGAGCACTAGGAAATAGAATCGTTTCTAGAACACTAGCCAATCCTCACCAGTAGGTGACACTAGCTGATTGAAGATATTTTATATAAACTACTGTCTACTCTAAATGGCTTTTTAATCCAGAGTTTTCATCTTCCAACTTCAATTGATGATGCTATATATACCTCTAATTTAAGCCATTAAAACCTTAGTCAGCAAACACTGTGTGCCTTAGTGCTAAGTATCACACATTTGATTGCTGGTAAAGGACTCAACAGGGATTTTACATTATTAAAGAACAAATGCTTTTATGTGTTATTTATTTATTTATCTTTACATCATCTTTATTAAGCAAAATAATAACAACAGCATATATGTTATTT